GCAGACATCTCTATCAGTGAAGAGGTAGTCAAAGCAGCTGCAGGAAATTGGAATGGCAAGGAAGTGATGGCACTTCTTCTCGACCGATACGGAGCAGACATCTCTATCACTGAAGAGATAGTCAAAGCAGCTGCAGCGAACAATCAGAATGGCAAGGAAGTGATGACGCTTCTTCTCGACCGATGCGGAGCAGACATCTCTATTACTGAAGATATAGTCGCTGTAATTGTAAGGAGATTTGACAAGGAAGTGATGACACTTCTTCTCGACCTACACGGGGCAGACATCTCTATCACTGAAGAGATAGTTAAAGCAGCTGCAGCGAACCATTGGAATGGCAAGGAAGTGATGACGCTTCTTTTTGAACGATGCGGAGCAGACATCTCTATCACTAGAAAGATGGTAGCTGAAATTGCACGGATTTGTGGCAAGGAAGCGATGACACTTCTTCTCGACCGGCGCGGAGCAGACATCCCTATCCCTGAAGAAGTAGTCAAAGCTGCAGCGAACAATCGGAATGGCAAGGAAGTGATGACACTTCTTCTCGACCGATGCGAAGCAGACGTCTCTATTACTGAAGAAGTAGTCAAAGCAGCCGCAGGAAATTGGAATGGCAAGGAAGTGATGTCACTTCTCCTCGACCGACGTGGAGCAGACATATCTATCACTGAAGAAGTAGTTAAAGCAGCCGCAAGAAACTGGAATGGCAAGGAAGTAATGACACTTCTTCTTGACCGATGCAGGGCAGACGTCTCTATTACTGATGAAGTAGTTAAAGCAGCTGCAGGAAATTGGAATGGCAAGGAAGTGATGACACTTCTTCTCGACCGATGCAGAGCAGACGTCTCTATTACTGAAGAGATAGCCAAAGCTGCTGCTGCGAACGAGGACGGTGGCAAAGTTCTTCAATATCTTCATGAAACTGTTGGCATCAAAGTCACGGATGGAGTAATCGAAGCAGCAGCGGCCAGTGGTCAAATGACAACCCTTAAACTCCTTGATAAGTGCGCTGGCATTGGCTGTGTAACAAAGGAAATGGTCGATATCGCACGACTCTATAATGCAGCTCGAACCGGGGATGCTAAGACTGTTTTCGAACTTATTGGATTAGGCATTCCTCCAGACAACAAGGACATTATGGGAAGAACTCCTCTGTGGTGCGCATCAGCCGGTGGGTATACAAACGTCATCCAGATCCTTCTGGGAACAGACACTGTCGATGTTAATGCGCAAAGTGTCTCTGGGTGCACTCCGCTCTTCTGGGCTGCCGCTAGTGGCTATTCCAAAGTGGTCCAGTTACTTCTGGATCATGGCGCTCGACAGGACTATACAGATAGGGATGGTATGTCGCCACTTACCATTGCTCAGTCTCGTAGTCAAACCGAAGTGGTGGAAATCCTTATCAAAGACAATGTACAGAAAGGTACTAAGGACTATTTCGGTACTGTCGACTAAGGGAAATAGCAGGAAGCCGAAGTACGCAAGCGAAAGGGCTAAAAGGCATGCGTGAGAGTGCACAGCAAGGAGCATTGAGACTCACTGGCTAGAATGGTCAGCCTGGCTCACTCATGGAAGCCCTAGACCTAGAGCAAAAGGCACTATATCGTCAATGGAAAAGTGTTTCTACAAAATCTCGTCTTGAAGTTCGAAAACAAATGGCGTCTTCTTTCTCATGGGAGAGATTTCACAGCTCGGCGTCGAATCTGTCTGGTTTCTTTGGTTAACCAGTTCACCAAAGTCTACGCATCTACAATTTTGAACTTCGATACTCCATACCAATTGGCAATCGCCCCTCTCATTCAGTTTTACCTAGTTAGAAACCAAGCAATTCCTAGCAGTACTCTTATACCCGTCGTATTTTAGTCTTAACTCTTAGTTTCAATTATTGCGGCTTCTTAACGTCGGTCTACAGCTTGGGTAGTGTCTGCCACAGTAGTAGCACCGCTTCGTAACGTGAAATCTGTTAGATATCAGATAGAGTGAGGCTCTATTTAGAGTGCTAATGGCTTTCGAATTGTACTTCTATAGGTTTGTATCTATGCCACACTGTTTTATAGCTCTAATATCTATGGAGATAACCCAGAGAGGTGTAAGAATCGTAAAAAGGTGTGTGAAAGTAGTAGGGACTATTCTAAAAGCTACTTGACACTAAACTCAGACTACTCAACTTGGACGCAGGCTGGCACTGCTACAGCTAAAGGTCAATCCCTCCTAGTTCAGGTCAATACAGCGGGTAATCTTGTGTGAGAACGGATAGGGATCAACTCTACCACTAAGGAACAATTCCTCTAAGTTTAAAAAAAGTAGAGCGTTATCTGTTTATTGAAATTGTAACATAGTTCTTCATTTTCGATTGCTTTGATCCGCTTACTCGAGACCATACCGACCGAGTCACAGAACTCATATTCCACTTCCTCCACTCCCGATACCTATCGAACAAGTCTATCAATGCCAATGGCCCAGATCCATAGATGCCGTCCCCGTATGACTCCAATGCACTGCCGTCAAATAATAAACCCGATATCAATACCTAGTAGCTGCCTTCTTGCCAGCCATATTCCGATTGATCTTATTCTGGCATCTCTGCAGGGCCGCCTTGACCTCGCCTTTCTTGAAGGTATCGAGATCGTAGTACATAGGGGCAATATCCTAACCTTCCGTTAGTATAAATTCAGGTTTCGTTGACAAGGTAAACTTACTAGAAGCCACTCTGGTTTCACAACCGTGACTGTGCGAATGAAATTCTTACTTGTAAGCACAAATTCATTATACACCACCCACTCTGCATCTACAGCGAGGACAGTACTGGGATGTAGGATAACAGTCTGGTCATCTTTGACTGTAACGTAGTTCTTCCCGCTGCCATCTTTCTTGGCAACCTGCATGAAGAATCCAGCTACGAGCGCCCGCTGGATGTTCTCGTAGTAGTTCTTGTCACCGTGCTTGGTCGAAACGAACTCGATCTCCCTCGCCTCCATGATACGCCTGAGCTGAAGCCGAACGTCATCGGCATGGGTAAGAGCGCGGTATGACAGGAAGTGGTCATGACACCATTGCTTTTGATCACCTGCGGGTTGGTTCTTGAAAGCATGGTAAACGTTCAACATCGTCAGATGATCGCCGTCGGGATGCGCAAATAGGTCCTTCATCTCGTTGGCTTGTTTACGTTTGTTGGTAGGGCTGACGAAGATCTGGGGGACGGAAAGGAGGGCCGTGAGCGAGAGAATCTCATTGGAACAGTAGAATTCCGGAGAGCTGATGAGCATCACCGCCAGCGCTGGATCCAGGGGAAATTCAGAAGCTAGCTGGCCCAGCTGGGTCAGTTCACCTTCGTCGTCGAGGCATGCTAGATAGTTGAGTTCCTCGAGCGCGCGCATCAATGTCTCAGGGGCTGGAGGATCCATCAAGTCAAAGTGAACGAGGTCGTCGATGCCCAGCTTCTTGAGCTCCAGGACCGTGTTCGCCAAATTCGACCGGAGAACCTCAGGGTATGTTTGAGCAATGAGCTGCGTCTTGAATGTCTCCTCCGTATACAAGCGGAAGCACTTTCCGGGTCGAGTACGACCGGCACGACCAGCACGTTGCTGTGCAGACGCTTTTGAGATTGGTGACACGAGAAGGGACTCGACTCGAATACGAGGGTTGTAGACCTTTTGCTTGCTGAAGCCCGGGTCCACCACATAAACGATACCATCAATAGTGAGTGATGTTTCGGCAATGTTGGTAGAGACGATGCACTTGCGTCCAGGCCGACCACCGGGCTTAGCTGCAGGAGGAGCTGGTTGGAATATCCGCTGCTGCTGCTGAGGAGGAAGGGTTCCGTAAAGCGGATATACCATGATTGGACCAGCGATGCCATCGCTTATTGCTTCTTCAGTCTCCATTCTGATCTTCCTGCAGGCATCCTCAATCTCCTCTTCGCCCGTAAGGAACAACAAGATGTCGCCCTCGGGTTCGCTGGTATGAATCTGCAAGACAGTTCGGATTGCGGCTTCAAGGTAGTCCCGCTCCGGTTCCGGCGTGTAGAAGATCTCGACAGGGTGGGTTCGTCCAGGCACGGCAAGAAGCGGTGCGTCGTGGAAGTACTTCTGAAACTTGGTCGCGTCTAACGTAGCGGACATAATGATCAATTTCAGATCTTTCCTCCTCAAAACAACCTCTTTCAAGAGACCCATCAAGATATCTGTAGCCAAGGTCCTCTCGTGGGCTTCGTCAAGTATGATAGTGCTATACCTCGTCAGGTTGTTGTCGTGCATAGCTTCGCGCAGCAACATCCCGTCCGTCATGTACTTCAGCATTGTCTTTGGGCCGGTCTTGTCCTCGAAGCGAATGCTATATCCGACCTCCTCGCCCAGTTGGACGTCCATCTCCTCGGCAACACGCTGGGCGACGGACATGGCGGCGACTCGGCGGGGCTGGGTACAGGCGACCAACTTCTTGTTGAGGTGGGGGAGGTCATCGTAGAGGACGAACTGGGGGATCTGCGTAGTTTTGCCAGAACCAGTCTCACCGACGAAGACCAAGATTTGCGACTCCTGGTAGAGCTTCAAGAACTCGTCTCTCTGCGCATGTACGGGCAGGTCTCGTCGCTTGTGAAGGATGCTCATGTACTTTCCCGTCAACGTCCTGCCGGTGAAGGGATTGATAGGGCCATCCTCAGCAGCGCGGGCGGCCTTTGCGGTTGTCGCATGGCGCTGGAAGGAGTAGAGGCGGTGGGCCTGGCTCTCGGGGGCTTTTATAGCTAAGGTTAGAGTATGCAATTGCTTGGGGAGGGGAAAACGCGTACTGTGTGGGTCGTCGGCCCAATGCGCCAGGTAGGGGTTGTTTGCAGGGTCGGTCTTCGAGTAGCCGTTCTGCTCCACCTTTACTCGCTTAACGCGGGAGATATCTTCCTCGAAGTCTGCTTGTCGTTCCACCGTCATGGCTCGACCTCGTGCAGTAAGCGGAAACGGAAGTTTGTATTTTGGTGTCAGAGAGTTAGCTCAAGGCGGCGGGGGCTGGAGACTGACAAAAGTTGGAGGTTGGCCCGTGCAGCGGGGATACTGTTTTGCCGCTCCGAGGCTTGGCAATCTTGTCACACCGGGGGAGGGGGACAACAATTTCCCCTCCCCACACCCCCCCCAAGTAACAATGTAGACTTCACTCTCCTTCACTAGACACCAAGTGTCTCTCCACCCCTCCTTTTGCTCAGGTTTCAGGGCTGCCACACCTTGCCCGGCCTAGTCCTCCTGCTATGGACTCTCCCGACAGCATGGGCGACATGCTCGTCTTCTATGTGGGTCAGCACGAGTCCAACCGCCCCCTGCCCGTGTCCGACCAGCTTGTCCGCCATGCCCAAGACTGCGGTGTAAGGCTCTCTTACTCTGCTTGTACAGTATATGTATTGATATACTCTAGTATGACATGCTCACTACCCCCATCACAACCCCGCACTTTCATGCTCGAGTCCTCACTCTCTTGACCTCGTATAATCAAGCTATTGCGGAGTCCTCTCTCCCTGCTTCCACTCAACCACTGCCTCTTGTGCCGGCTCTTGACCACCTCGACACCCCCCTCGCTCCCAGCGATACCATCTCGCAGTTTATCGCATTTACCAGCCCTTGGATAGACTTAGCTTCCCCAGATCCTTTAATTGCTTACTTATCGCGCCAGGTGTTCAACCTGGAAATTGCATATGCTGCCTTCTGTGGAGTCGTTACTGTCGTTGTCCAGGGCCCTAGGCTGTCTCACAGCCACAATGGCTTGTCACAATTTGCTCGCGCAATCAGAGAGGCCCTTCAAGTCGGAGGATACATCCAGCTCCACGTGCTTCTGCCCATGGATGGTTCACATCAGATTGACGACGATGAAGACATGGGTAATTTAGCTCGCTTTGCGCGGCCTGAGTTTGTTAAGCAATCTGCATCTCCCGCACAATCCCTCGATCCTTTCAGCGGATGGACTGCCTGGAATGCCATTCGTTCTATTTGTAGATATCACTCGAGGCTCTCTTTGGGTAAGTTTACTTTCTATCGGTCAGCCTGGAATTCTTAAACAATCTGGCACCCTGCTTCTGGCTGCTGCGTTACGGCGTCTGACTGTCCTTTAGCTCTTGATCTTCCGCGACGGCTCCCATCACTAGCCCTCCAGTCTCGATGGTATTCTGAGCCCTTACGTCTCCTCAATATACCAGCCTCATCATTCCTTGTTAACGCTCGCGGCTCGTATGTCTTGTCAAAACCACATCAGCTCTTTATCTTCCGCTGCATGCGCTTGCGCAGTGCTCCATGGCTCCTTCTTTCTGATATTGGACCGATCCCTGGCGTCAATAATCCCGACATGATCATGGATTACCCTGGACCCCTTTCTCCAGCTCTCGCTGCTGATGCTTCATCTCCTCGATCATCAATGTCTTCCTCTCCAACCCCTGCCGAGGCCGCGCAGATGCCAAAGCACGCCGGGAAGAAGAACCGGAATGATCCTACTCCTCACCTCAGCTACATCAGGTATTTGCAACGCAATCAGCCCGTTAGGAGTATGATTGAGAGGTTTGGCGGTGGGTTCCAGGATTACCTGCAGAGTCCGTTACAGCCTTTGACAGACAATCTGGAATCGATAACTTATGAGGTCTTTGAAAAGGATCCCATCAAGTACGAATGGTATGAACGCGCCACTGAACATGCGCTACGGGACTGGGTGAGCGAGGGAAAATCAACAAGTTCAGAAAACGGCTCCGTGGTCATCGCTGTAGTAGGGGCAGGTCGTGGTCCGTTAGTGACACGAGCACTTAAAGCTAGCGAAGTATCCGGTGTACCCGTCCAAGTCTTTGCCATCGAAAAGAATCCGAATGCTTATGTCCTCCTGCAACGGCACAATATCGAGACTTGGGGTGGTCGCGTCACAATCGTGAAGACCGATATGCGAGCTTGGAAAGGTCCATCGTTACCGGATGGTACCTTTGGCAAGGTGGATATTCTAGTGAGTGAGCTGCTAGGTAGCTTTGCTGATAATGAACTCTCGCCCGAGTGTCTGGATGGCGTCCAGCACGTCCTCAATGCAGACCATGGGATCTCGATTCCAGCGAGCTACACCGCTCACCTCACGCCTATTTCTTCTCCTAGACTCTATGCAGACTTGCTTTCACGGAGCAACATGGCCGATTCTAATGCTTTTGACATTCCTTGGGTAGTCATGTTTCAGCAGATAGACTATCTGTCCACTCTACCACCTTCACCTGATGCATCACATGCAGCCAACGGAACAAAGGTGAACCAGCTGAAGGTCGATATGCCTCTCGTTCCCAATGTTCAAACAGCGTGGGAGTTCTCGCATCCGTTACCACCCACCATTCTTGCGCAGTCGTCGCTGCGTCGAGGGGGTTCGGCAGTTGGTGGAGGTGGAGGTTTCACGGGCGGGGACGGTGCGAACGAGCACAATGTCCGATTCAGCAAAACGACGTTCCCAATTCAGGAACAAGGTGTTTGCCACGGTTTGGGAGGCTATTTTGAGACGGTACTATACAGTGGGTCGGAAGGGAAAGTCGAGTTGAGTACGAATCCTGTCACAATGGAAGAGAAGAGCAAGGATATGATATCTTGGTTTCCCATTCTCTTTCCTCTTAAAGTGAGTCTGCATTCCCCCCCAATCAAAATAAAGTCTCATCTAACCGACTCGAACAGGCGCCATTACATGTCCCCGCAAACTCGGAGCTTGAAGTCAGCATGTGGAGGCAAACCGACGACCGGAAGGTGTGGTATGAGTGGTTAATCGAAAGCTTCATTACGATCAATGACAGAAGGGTGAGACTGGGGATTTCAGATCTGCATTCTAGCAGGAGTAATGGGTGTTTGATGTAGACCTGATCTAGGATTTCGGACTTACATTTAGAGTGAGGGAGGAGTCTGGGTGTGTGACGGATCCATTTGCGAGGGGCTAAGTTTACTCTGCTGTCAGTAGCTGGTTGACTGAGATACCTTGGTACTTTTTTATGTGTTTAAAAAGATAAAATTTAGAGGTGGCTGAGAATGATGGTGCTTGGCTGTGGAAACGGCTCGATTCAATGAACCCCCTGAACCGCTATTGAAATTGAGAGGAGGGTAAAGGATTTGACTTCTCGCGCCCAGGATTAGGCTCTATCGTATTGAAGCGAAGTGTATCAACAATATCTAGGCTTTTCTGCCCCTCTTTACTCCCTTCGCCTGCTAACGGTCAGCCTCATCGGACTCGCGCCTTCTCACCTCCGAGCTCCGCAGTGCCCCCCATCTATATTTCCTTCAACAACATAAACACCAGCACCACTATCCAGGCACGCATCGACCAATCCCTCATCCCAAATCAATCGCATTTTACTCTACCCACAATGCCACCTCCCTTCTGGACAATCGGGTGTCTGTACGGCGCTTCGTCCGTCATGCTTGGTGCGTTTGGCGCTCATGGGCTCAAGAAACGTATCGCAGACCCTGCGAGATTGGCGAATTGGTCAACGGCGGCGCATTATCAGGTTTGTTTCCACAATCTATCCTTGAATCCCTCAATCCCATCCTACGCACGATCTTCACGCTCCCATTCCTACGGCAAAACCAACTGTACACCTCCAATTGAAGCCGTCTAAAACCCTCCCCTCCCCCGGCTCGAGCTACCTACACCTGCTGACCCCCAATTCCCCACAGCTAATCCACTCCCTCGCCCTAACTCTGACCTCGGTAGCGGCGCCACACAATACGATCGCCGCGAGTCTTTTCACGGCAGGAATGACGATGTTCAGCGGGAGTATTTATTTGCTGGTGCTGGATCCGCAGAGATTTAAGGCTCTAGGCCCTGTGACGCCGTTAGGTGGACTGTGTTTGATTGGGGGGTGGGTTGCGCTTGCGGTAACGAAGAAGCCGGTTTGGCCAAGGCGGTGAGCGGAAGACGGAGGAGCTTGGGGGAAGGGGTGTAAGATATTGGTTGCCATGAACAAACTGTGGAACTATGGATTTGCCCTGGAATACAAAGGGGCAAGTGGATGGGGTCCCAATCAGGGGCTAACAGGCATGAGTCTGGATCTCCACTCTTGTTTTCCTAGCAGTTAACGTCCCGCTGCGGCGAACTAAGCACGCATCTACAGACTTCACATGTCGAGCAATGTTTGCAGACAGCCCAAGAAGCCAACTTGTCTTCAAAGTGCTCATTCAACTTCCAGGGCCAATTGAACAGATATCAAACTTTTACGGTCTATAGGACATGACAATGGTCTAGGCAAATCCGCCGCTTCCTCCATACACCTTCCCAAACTCTCCACCCCTCCCTAATTCATCCACGTCTTCAGGATCTCCTCAGGCACATCCCTAACCAACACATGCAAATGTTCCAAACTCCGCACACTCTGCAAATTGGTCGTATTTTTAAACCACTGCACTTTCTCCCCCTCCTTCTCCTCCCCGGCTGGAACCCTAAACCTCGCCCTCACAAAATCATCCACCTGCTTCCTGCCCTCGATCGTCAACGCACCCTCCCCGTCTACCGAAAGCGGCTGCTTGAGCCACACCACAATATGCGAAATGCCAGGCGTGACCGCATAGCTCCAGTCATTTTTCAATATTCTAAAATCCGCTTCGTCTGCGAACGGCACCTCGTTCTTCAACTCAAACCGCAGCGGTCCGGTCGCTGACAACGGTGTCCAGAATAGCCGTTGTTGGAGGAGATACTGGGTTGCGCTTCCATATTCGGCTTTGACGTGCGCCGTCCATGCGAGATAGGCTTTCAGGAATGAGGGCCAGCGCTTGAGTTCGTCGAGTTGGTTTGTGGAGATAAGGGAGTGGAGATCCGACCAGGTGTGTGCCGTGAATTGGGAGTCCGTGAGGGAGAGCTGTTGCCAGTCGATGGCGGTGAGTTGGAAGGGGGGGTTGTCGCGGGGGAAGGGGAGGGCGGTGGGGTCCGGGTTGTGGCGCCAGGTTGACTGAAAGGTTGATGGGTGGGAGTTGGAGTCTATTGTCATTTTGTCTGTGGCTGTGGGACAGATGTGGAGGGTGAGGTTTAGGAGGTTTTGGAGGGTTGAAGGGAGGGACGTGTGGAGATGAGGTTGGAGTTGGAGTTGAAGAGGTGGTGGAGCAAGACTCATGTAGGTGGGTTTCAGAGGGACTATTTATTGGGCCTCACAATGGAAAATATGTCAGCTAGCTAGATGCGGTCCGCCCCTTCATATTCCTCGTCCCCTGAGCTTGCGGCTGCAATGCATGGCTAGTGCCAGGTGGCTTAAATGCCGTCAATCGTCGAATTCATTTATGCGTAATTTACGGCGGGGTGTCCGTTCTAACGGCAAATGTACAATCAACCCGTAGAATGACCTATCAGCGGTCCTTTCGGACGTTCTAAAGCCTAGTAAATGTGATTGCATAGGCGAAAGCGCAAGGCTTTTTCTTCCTTGAATGTATTGTAGGATGCTTTCTGTGCTGCAATAAGGTGGGGCTTATCGATACTGAGGCCGGATGCGTTGCCGGATGTAGTAACCCACGATTTCTTGCCTAGCAGGTATTCTTACCGTAGCTTGGCTTAGGGCAATAATAGGTATCAATGGCAGTAAGTTCTGGGCCAGATGCTCGGAGGGAGAGTATTAGGAATGTTGCGAAAATGCATCAAGACAATATCAACTTGTAACCGCTAGTTGAATGTTTCATACTTGGTCGGATCCTTCCGTAAGTCTTGATAGAGCACATTTAGCTGTCTAAATCATAAACGGTAAGGGGTTGGCTTTATATGCGCCTTTTGCCATACCTGTTTGGCCCCGGCTAAGCAATCTAAGCAGCGGCAATCAGTTCCTTTAGTCGCAGAATGATCGCCACTTCCCAGTATAAGTTTTATATCTAATCCTCAGACTTGTACTACATCCTCATACTACCCAAAAAGTCAGCTCTCTCCTTCTCTCCTCTCCTCTACTATCCTCCATATCCCACTTACTATCCAAATAATCCGCGGCGATAAGCAATTCCAAGCACAACTCTGGAGGTATCTCCATGTCAGGCACGTCTTTAGCCTCCGCATGTTTCTGGTGATAATACAAGTACTCGCAGACTTTCTCAAGGGTTACGCCACTGGAGATCCACATTAGCCTGCTGGTCACTGTCCCAATACCTACACCGTATCATCTTGCCCTCGTAGCTCGAAATTTACGACGAGAGGTTACTAGGTGTAAGGCGAGGAGCGGTCGTACTTGATTGTTGCAAGTTTAATGCGGCCTTCAGACTCTTCTCGGAAGCCATCTAGATAGATAGCCAAACAATCAGCGGCTGCCATGTGCTAAATGTAAAAGGAGATGTACAGGGACCTGGAGCATACACGAAGGATCAAGCGCTTTCTTTATCGTGCCAGCGAGACAAGCAGCGGAACGCAGGACTTTGAATTCAAAGCCGTCGCTTGATTCGAGGGTTACGAATTCGGTGAGATTTATCGTCGCCATGGCAAGATACGCTAGGTTTAGGCTTGAGGTGGTAGGAAATCCGGGTGAAGAGTGAGTGAGGAAGCGGAGGGGAACGCGCGATCACGTTTCCTCGCGCGGGGTATTTGGGGTGACTAAGCACCTGGGCATGGTTTCTCTCCCTCAACCTTTCATCTTCACCTTTCAATTCACTTGCGCAATTGGTAGGTAATTCACCGAGCACTTTTTGCGCGCAGAAGTTGCCAACCCACCCCCAACCACCCAAACCGCTCCTCCTCACTCTAATCCATCCATGCTATCTTTCCCCACATACTCACTGTCGCTCCTCACCTCTCACCTGGGCACCGCTCACCCCCCATGCCACCCCAGCCCCCCCATATCCTCATAACAGGTGGTTCCCGCGGCATCGGCCTCTCCATCGCCCAACTTTTCGCCCTTCACCGATACACCTGCACGCTGATCAGCCGCAACCCTTCAACCCTCTCAGCCTCCATCGCTTCCCTCCCCCACTACTACGACCATCTCAACCACACATCCATCAGTGGTGACGTATCCTCGCCCCAATTCTGGACGTCCTCGAACCATAATCTCGCTTCGAAACTCGGCACGCGCCGCGTGCACGTGCTTGTGAATTGTGCCGGGTTATCGCAATCCAGTGTTCTAGTGCGGACATCGGAGGATGAGGTGCAAAGGATCATGGATACGAATCTCACGAGTATAATATTGGGGATACGATATTTGCTCAGGAATAGGAATATTCGGCGCGAGGGGTCTACTAATGTCAACGCCAATGACGACGCCGCCGCTGCTCAGGCAAGCGCGAATACGAATCCCAGCGAAGAACCTGGGGCGGGAGCGGGAGCGGGAGCGGGAGAAAGCACGGGTACAACTCGGGACGAGGACACGGGGAACGATAGTGACACTATATCCCCTAGCCCGAGTCCCTGCATCATCAACATCGCCAGCGTACTCGGTATCAAGGGGGGTCGGGGAGCCGTAGCTTATAGCGCAAGTAAAGCCGGCGTGTTAGGTCTCACCCGCAGTCTCGCGGCAGAGGTGGGGCCATTGGGAATCAGAGTGAATGCCATAGTACCCGGATACATAGACACCGACATGACAGCTGGTAAGCTCGCCCGTCCCGCCGCTATTTTCCTCCTCCCCTGTCTACTCCCAAATCCGTGACAAATACCTCCCTCCAGCCCGGGTAGAGAACCGGGTACTCAGCAAGCAAGGGAGAGCAGGAAGACCAATACGACCAGATAGGGAGATAGGGCATGATATGCGACTTTTCTCTGATTCCGCTAAAATACGCACACAGACCTCCCACGCCAGCTCCTCAAAACTATCCCCCTGGGAAGATTTGGACACGCGTCCGAAATCGCCGACGCTGCGCTCTTCCTAGCAAGAAACCAATACGCAAATAACTGCGTTATCAATCTTGACGGTGGGCTCAGCGCGACGTAAAGCATCCTTCTTTTCCAAAGCACGCGCACGCAGCTACCTGCCAAAATCCCAAGACCAAATACCAGGTATATTCCGAGAAGGCCCAAAAACGCCGCGCCTGTTCAGAGGGATAAATAGGGCTGAGGGAGATCTATTGTTTGTGTGAATGTCTGTTGAATGCCAAATGCCATGCCAAAAGTACAAATCCCAGGAGATTGCAAGAGATGCAAGTCCAGATAAGGATCCAAGATGGTTATTTATCGAAGGGGAATTGAAGATGGATGATTGGGTTCAGCATTCAGTCATCGTCGATGACGATAGCGCCGTCGTTGCTATCCTCCACAATGATGATGTCATCCTCGGCGGCAACTGCGATGACTTTCCCACGCTTTTTAACGAGGTCGATCTCGAGCTCGGCTTCGTCTGCGTCACGCTTACGTTTGCCGACGACGCCGTTGGCGCTGTTTCCATTGACGATTGGGTGGGTGTGACCGTTGACAGTGACTGGAGGGGCAACTTTCGGCTTACTTGCAATCCTGAGTTCTCCAGCTAGACGAAGAGGTTTCGCATTCTTTTCTAGTGGCTGCTCGGAGATGGATAAGACGACATTGACCTTGGGATTCTCATCCTCCTCATCAATGATAGTGATGAAGCTGTCTGATTTCAAGCCAAGCTCGCTGAACGTTTTTGGGAGATTCTGGTCTTCTTCTGGGTCGTACAGGATCCCTGCTTCGCTGTTGATACTGAATTCCCCACCGTAGCCCAGCTGCAGTTTAAGGAGATGCTCAACCAGGTCGTTCAGAGTGGCTCTTGAAGTGTCGACTTCGAGTGTAGATTGAGCGACGCTGCAGACCGGACAGGTGGGATTGGGTGGCCGCAGGGGTTCGCTGGAAATCACGCGCTCTGTAGACCGGGTGAGGAAAACCATCTTCGCTTTGTCGAGCTCGTTGCGCATGACTTTGAAGGCTTGGAGCACACAAAGACCGGCTGTCATGGCGTTTGTGGTGGCGATTGCGGGGATGATGTTTCCGGCCATTTCTGCAGTTATTAGTAGGATACCCAATATAGCTGGGAGTAAGAGACATACGTTTGATGTCAAATTTCGACCTCATCTCGATTCCGAAAACATGAGATCGCAAGTTTGCGCTCGCTGCAACGAAATCGAGGGTGTCAACGTCGTCCTTATCGAAACTGAGAATTGCTGCCGAACTGCGGGTATTCGCGTTCACCCGCGATTCCTCAAGACGGTTGCTGAGCCGTCGCAGACTGTCCACGAAGACAGTGAAGTTCTCCGCAGCCGTCCAGACAGCCTGATCTTTGTGTGCAATCCCCGACCCGACGCCCAGCGCTTCCTGTGCTATCTTATCATAGTCTAAAGGCTCCGGCGGTCTCCGACTCTTCCACATATCTTCCATACTCCGTAATCGGTCGATATCCTCCTTGAAGACCTTGCTAAAGACCAGGCGCGGGAAGTCCTCAGATCCCATAGATTCGCGGATGCGCTTCAGAGCTTGCGACTCGCGCCGCAGATTCTCGATCTCCCTCGCGTTTTCCGAGTCAGTGCTGTGGTCAAGTTCTGGGGCGTCGTCTTCGCTTGTGCCGAAGATTTCAGTGAAGAGGTAGCTCTTAGCCCAGACAATGCAGTGGATGGGCTGGCTGGGTGTGCTGCGGATGGTGCAGACGGGGAAGCTTTTCGGCGGATCTTTGGTGACGCAGTCGTAGCATTCGGTTTTCCCCTAAACAATCAATCTCCGTTAGCGTGTATTCCATAGTATTTTGGCGTTTCGCGCATACCTTCCGTATAACCTGAACCTGTCCATTGAACCCTGTGGTACCGCTCTCGACTAAAGGCACATCGGCTGCCAAACACATCCTATTCACATGTCTCCGCGCATCTAAATTATCCAGCGCATTAAAGACAATACTGAAGCCTTTAAACCATGCGACATTGAACTTCGGATCCTTGATGTTGTCGTGGTGCGCTTCGATCTTGACATTAGGGTTGAATCTACCGGCCGACTCCTTCGCAACCTACCCCCAGCAAAAATGTCAGTCACACCTCGCGCGCATGCCATCTAGCCCCAAAAAACTCAGGAGAAGTGCAAACGTACTAATGCCTTCGATTTCTTAATATGCTCGTTGCGGAACAGGAATTGGCGATTGAGGTTGCTCAAATCAATGGTATCGAGGTCGACGATGTGGATCTCGCCGAAGCCAGTGAGGACGAGATTCTTGAGCAGCTCGCAGCCGATGCCACCAGCGCCAACCATCAACACACGTGACTGCAGTCAAGTCAGTACCAAACTTCAGCGCAAGGCTGACTGAGGCGATGGGAGCTCTACCTGCTTGACGTGCGCCTGGAGGGAAGCCCCCAGGCTCTGTCGACTGTGCTTATCACGTCCTGCCGCCATTGGAATATCGATGTTTGGGGCGCGTTAAGACATGCAACGGGGGTGGGGAGGTGGGAGAGGAGTGGGAGAGGAGTGAGAGAGGCTGTTCAGTGACAAGGTTATGAGACGGACGTCAGTGATTCCTCGCAAGAGCGAGCACGGACGGTGAAGGGGCGTTGCCGTTGCCGCCCGGAGCATATGCAGGTGAGGTCAGCCTCATTGCTCGGCTTGCCAAGACGCTAGGCCGAGGCCGCTTGAAGGTGAATGTTCCAGCTGCTTGCTCTGACCGTAACTCCTCGTCATCATCGCTGGTTTCTGGATTCATGGTGACGCTAAAATAGACCTGATGAGAGAGTGCAGGAGCTCCATCCTTCTCTCCCAAAGTCCTCCTCTCTTTTTAATCAACCCCACCTTTGCCTTGGCTCCCCACCCCACTGAACATGTCTGATGACGACGTCGACCATGAGCTCCTAGATCTCCTGCGAAAGTCTCTGGGTATCGGCCCTGCAGATTCCTCTGCTCCCCCAGAAACAAAAGTCCTTCAAAATGCCGAGTTTATATACGACAACAGCATCGATGTTGCTCTCGACATGCGTCACACAAAGCTAGCGGCAATCGAAATCCTCAAGCAAATGCAAGAGCGCGGATACAGCACCAAAACATGGTCAGAACATCCCTTACATCCCAAGGCCAAAGACGAAAACACCGTCAATTTTATCTTCACTATGGACCTTTTAAACTTTAGCTTCTGGAGTGAGAAGAGCGAAGATGAGAGATTCACCGTCAGTTATCAGGACAAGAGGTGGACAGGGTACTGGAGTTTAGTAGCGGCGCTGCAACGAGGGTTAGATGAGGAGATTTCGATTACATCGCCTTCGTTCTGGATTAACGAGGAGGAGTGCACCGAGGAGGTTCTACGCAAAGTTTTCCGGTCAGAAACGGATGAAGAGATTCCCATGTTTCAGGAGCGGATACGGTGTCTCCGAGAAGCAGGGCAGATTCTAGAAGAAGTGGGTGGGCCCGTCATCTATTAACACTATTTCTTGGGTTGATCGATAACCCAACACTCCAGGAATTCGACAGCAGTATTATCACGCTCATTGAAGACGCAAAGCACTCAGCGGCTGGCTTAGTAAATCTTTTAGCTGAGCGATTTCCCTGCTTCAGGGATGAGGGGAAATTTGAGGGCAAGAAAGTCCGATTTCTGAAACGTGCTCAGATTTTCGTGGCAGATGTATGGGCTGCATTTGAGGGGGAGGGATATGGGGAGTTTAACGACATCGATAAAATCACAATGTTTGCAGGTATGCGCAGTAGCGTTACTGTTGGGGAATCTCCGAAACTCGAGGTATCCAGAAACTGACTGCCACGACGCCAGATTACCGCGTCCCACAAATGCTCTATTCCTTGGGCTGCATATCGTTCTGTCCACCGCTCGACAGTCGCATCCGACGTCACGATCCAATTGAATCCGGGCACTCGTGGGAATTGCAGATCCGGGGTAAGTCTACCAAACCCCCCCTCCGACAGTAACTCATTTGCCACCTATCTCTCAATTCTATCTAACACAGCACCTGCAACTAGGCTGCAGTATCTGGGCCATCGAGCTTCTTCGTCGTGAAATTGTCAAATTGCAACCAGATGCAAAAATTAACGCAATCTTGATCGATTTTTTCTTGTACGATCTAGCGAAGGAGAGAGAGCAGGCTGAGGAAGAGGCGATTCCACATCATCGCACGAGGAGTATTTGGTATTGAGGTTGAGAGGGGAAAGAACCATAGACTGAGATACCCAACAACATTCTCAACACCTACGCTGACGTCCACGTCTTGGTATTGTTGTGTTATCACAGTGTCATGTTATTCGGTGCACAATTGTTGAAATACATCCTGGGGACTAGCTGCTGAAAGCTAGCACAGGTCCTAGGAAGCTCCCTATGCTAATGAAGTAACTCAACTCCACCATTTCTCTGCAAACTCTGCAGCAGCTGCATCCATGGTTTGCCCCAATGCAACATGTGTAACTCACTGCAGCTAGCTTTGGAACTTGGGACCGTACAAAGAGAGCTTTTGATCTCCACCCCATCTGTAAGTCGTCAGTCTGTCAAACGTCGATCTATTAATATCCCTAGCAGCTTCACTGTGTCTCCTCTATTCCTTTGTAACTCCTCTTCAGTAGCTTCTAGATTCTTGTCGACAATAAATCAGGGTTGAGGACAGGGTAATTTGACACGGCAGTGACCACTAGACGACTCCCATATTCCTCCCCATATGCCACACTGAACACCACGACCCCTTCTCTCCATACTGTTTCCAGTTTTAATTACACGCGTACAGTTCATAGAGAATGATAAGGCATCTGCTGAAGTTGACGTGGGGTTATAGGAGGGCGCAGGAGTGTTGGGAAACTTGCTGGCTTCTGTCGACGAGGATATTGGGTAGTTGTCAGCGAAGAAAAGTGAACTTCGGGGGAGGCAGTCTTGCTATCTTCTGGATCCGCTCGTCAGCTCTCCTTGGTAGTGAGTGTGGTCTTGGTGTCTGCTCAACTCGCTTGTGGGATCTCCTTGGTAGCGAAGGGAATATTGAGATCTTGACCCAGTATCACGGCAGCAATCCTCATCAACAAGGTATGTATCAGTTATCTGCTCGGCTCGTTCGCCAGTCCTCCCCGGGAGCTCTATTCAACATTCTAGTCTCGAAGACTGCGAACTTGACACAGATCAGCGCAGTGATCCCTGTTGGGCCAGCCTAGGAACAAAAAGGAGAACATTTCCCCCTTCCTTATTCGTAGCCCCATCACTCTTCACAGCCTTAGTATTGCATCTCTACCGCCGCTGCCACTACTACTACTATTAGCTCTGCTTGTTTCTGCCAACTATAGCTACTGTCTCTTCTTCCCACTCAAAAAAGCAACCCTTCACAATCCGTCTAGCCATACCAGCGGATATAAGTCACCTCGCCGCTATAGAAGACAGGTATACTACGAAGTTTCGCTCCGAAGCAAACGTCGAAGCTTACGGGCCATGCGAGGCGACGCTGCATGGCTTCCGAGCCATGGATTGTCTCTGGGTCGCTGTTCCATCCAGTCCCTCTGCCCTTGCCCCGTCCGAAGCTTCACCCATAGGCTACATAGCCATCGACAGCTTCTACAATGACCTGGACAATGAGAACGCCGCAAGCGTATACATCAACCAAGTCTCTGTCGACCCGGGCTTCGGAGGGCAGGGTGTCGGACGACAACTCGTCTCACATGTCGAGGGATGGATGACCGGTATGGGGTATTATTGGCTTGACTTGACAACTTTCCGTGATGTGCCCTGGAACTGTGCCTGGTACGAAAGGTTAGGATTCCAAGTGTTAAGCGATGTCGAGCTGGAGGATAGCAGCTATTCGGACCTGAGGGACGAGTTACACAAGAACAACGCTCGCTTGCGGGCAGATGACCGCGTTGATGGATACGCGCTCGTAGCCATGCGTAAGATGGTCGGGGCTCCTCCTCCTCGTGAGGCGTCGAGATACCGGGATGAATCTGATCCGCTTTATTACTTGGACTATCCAGACTCGCTCCCCTTGTGGGATGATGAGACACCGTGACTTCGGTGAGCCGGAAGGCAACGGTCGTTATTATCTTTTTTTTGATTTTGGCATTTGATATGCGCTGTTTGGGCCTTTAAAGTCGGACTCTACAGCCAGTGCAGGGAGAGGACTACGAGCCTGCTCAATTTTGCATGAGCACAGCCAATGCAGAGACACAGTACTGGAAATCGCAGCACTTACTGTATGCTACCTACCCAATTTGAACACATTATCTGCTTCCGCAGACGTCATTTCTCGTGAACTTCTTACTATGCATGCACTGTGATGCTGTCCACCCACCACCAGCTTCCCAACATACCCTTTCAACCATTACACTAACCCTAAAAACGCTGATCGAGCCTACTTACTCGCGTTTATGAATGGTCCGGAAGCCGAAGGAGCATCACTGGCTAGGGAAGCCAAGAAATCGGATCTCTTGTGCTGTCTAGAAACAAGTTACTAAATGTGCACTCCGTCTTTCGTTATGTTTTGTTTTGTTTGTGCAGAGCCCCATACCGATCCTGAAAACACCATGGGAACCTATTTGTTCTTGTGTCCGAACAGAATTCCCGCTGAAGGGAGTTTGTCGGGCTGAGAAGCAGCAGCCGGATAGTAGTTTTTGTCGAGAAACAGAGCCTTTATGTTAGGTGGTAGGAAATGCTTAGCAAGAAGGATTTGGCAAAGAGTAATGCAGTTGATGTACAACAAGAATTGGAGGAAAAGCAAAATGAGCGAGAAAGCAGGGGAGAGATGATTCACAACATATTAACACTAAATTTGGACTTCTGGAAGGGTTTTATTTGTAAAGTCTGTTACTAGAGTAATTAAAGAAATGTGATATTAACTTCTGCCTAGTTTCGCAGTCTGAGTAGCATGCGCCCTCATATATGGCCAACATAGAAGACGGAAACACGACCTCAGAGAGTGAGAGGATCGTTGACCCAGAGATCGATGGAATGATATGTATGTAACTAGATACTCAGCGCTCGGACAATAAGAGCTGGCATTGTTATGTGGTCGACTTTTTGGATGGGCTTGGTTTCCGTACCATGCACTGTAATACTCGTTAGTTATGTATTCTAACCATTACGTAGGGTCCATAGCGTTAAGACTCCGTGATATGCTAACGTTAGCAGGCTGTTAATGTTAGAGTGTTATCTACTACAAATTAGGAGTTAGCAAATGCCCCTTCATGACTCACCAACCAGGCCTCAAGATACCTCGGGAAGAATGGACAGATGAGAACGCATCTGCATTCCCCACGACCTGTAAGCATTCTCGGATCCCATGACATTAAGCCTTTCAAGCAATTTGACAAAGGGACTTACACCATGCCAATCCACGCCATCTCCACCCCAAGGCTTCCTATCAAACTCAATCCCCTTTACCAACTCAAACCCCCACTTCTCATACAAAGGCCTCGCCAATACCGTCGTATCTAAATACGTCTCTAGACTCATCTCATCCGCTTTCTTGAGTCCCCATTGAAGTAGCATGGTACCTGCCCCTTTGCGATGATGGTCTGGATGCGTAGCCAGCGAGTGCAACATGAGATAAGTAGAATTACCCATGATTTCGAGCTGGGCAGCACGAATGGGCGTGAATAACGCGTTCAAGACATCGAGTCGCAGCTCCGGAGGTAGAAAAGGCGGAGATTCCTCTGCTAGCTTCGCTGCATCAATCGCTAGAGACCTGGAGGGATTTTGGAGACTCCAGACTGCGATTGCGATTGTTCTTCCACTGTTGTCTTCAGGGTCGTCTGGTGAGGGTGAAAGATCTGTGTCTACGATTTTCCAGTGCCAGGTATTTGGTTTGTTGATTTCTTTCTTTCGGTCTTCTGCAACGCTTAGAACTGAGGATTCGGAGATGGGTCCTAAGTGCACGAGTTCGTGAGTGGGGCCGAGGTAGGCAAGGGCGCGAATGCGTGTCCAGGATAGAGTGTCTTTTTCGGTTATGGGGGATAGGGTGAGAGGCATACTGGAATGTTGGAGAATGAGAGATTCGAAAGGGGAAGGACTGGTGGAGTGGGGAAAGTGGAGGGCAGGGAGACTTTGACAATATGTCTGATGAGCACCAAATATTTTCAAATAAACACGAGGATGCCAGCCTAGAGGCGAAAATTTGAAGTGTGGGTCAAGATCAATCAATTCTGAGCGAAGGATTTAGGCTGCTGGTGTGCAATAAAATAGTAGGAAAGGACCTGCCTTTTGTAGCCATTCACTGGTACAGATAGAAGCAGATTGCCTTTAATACACTAACCAATTATTCAATTCGAAAAGCTCTGCGCTAAAGTTGAGGTTAGGGTTGGAGGATGAAGTGGGATGAACCCCGCAATGACGCTGCATATCGGAGATAAGTGGTGCGTCCGATGGCTGAAAAATAAGTACCTAGGCAATTGCACTGGATACCTGCAGGTCCTCTCGATATCGACCGAATGCGGAACCAGCGGATGCCGTGGGGCGGATATCGCATCTACTCCTTATAGAAGTCCCTCGTCCTCTCCTCTCCTCCCCCTAATACTTTACTCGTAAGCCCCTTATCTCTTGGAACTAACTTACTATTGAAGTCCCTCGGAATGGCTACTAGTGCCGATTTAATCGCATTATACTCGACATAATCCGTATTCGGTGGATTGCTCTCGGAAGCTTCGATCTTATACAGCGAGAGCAATCGGAAGAGGGCTGAATATATAAGCTTGCTCGCAATGATTGCGCCAGGACACGATCGTGATCCTGCACCGAAAGAAAGATGGTCGAGTCCAGGAGACGCCTTTTCTTCAAAGGCCTTCTCAGAAATCTCGTCCAACCATCGTTCAGGATTGAAGGTTCCAGCATCGGGGCCAAAGTATTCGACATCTGCTTCTTGTTAATACTTCCGAAAGCGGGCTGTGCGAAGAGCTCATCCTACCGTGATTCCCCGCCTGCGCATTTATCAAAACCATCGTCTTCGCGGGAATGACCGCTCCATTCCAATGCACGTCTGAAACTGTTTTCCTGGGCAAGCTCATACTACTAACCGTGTAATACCTTCCAGCTTCTTTGACAATAGCATTCAAATACGGGACCTTCTCTTTCTCGAACTCAGTCGCCCATGCTTCTTTCAGGTCCGGATAATGCTTCCTGATATCCTCGTATGCACGCTCCTGGAATGCTTGGCCGGCGGGTGTAGAGAGGGATCCGATGCAGGAAACCAGCGTGCCTGGAATAGTCTCAAAGCCTCCAGACACCAGCGAGAGACAAATTGATCCAACTTCTACTCCTGTCAAACGGGTTTCTTGGTCTTTCAGAATTGCCGCGGATATGCATGGCTTGTCCGTTCCAGTCTTGATCATTTCACGGACCTTATTAAGAAGAAGGTCAAGATATATGTCACGCCGCCCTCTTAGTTCTTTCGAACGTGCCGTCTTCTCGTTATTCGGGATATACCGCAAGATGGGAATGTAGTCTTGATAATTCTCAGACGCGGACCGAAGTAGCGAGATTGCGGAGCCAACATTCAGGATCTCTCGAAGAAGCGTGTCATAGACCTCGTCCATTCGTATCCCATAGCATAGAGTCAATGTTGTATTCAACGCGTAGCGCTGAATGTATGGCCGGATACTGACCTCTACGGATCCAGTTTTGCTGTCCCGATGAAGGTCTCGGAGAATGCAGTACGATTCCAGGTCAAACATGGGATAGTAATTCTTCATCATCGCCTTGCTCAGCGTTGTTGAGGCTGCCTTGCGCTTATTGCGGCAACTATCATCCCAGGGCGAGGAGCCGATCGTGAAACCCTTGGTACTCGATATGACGCCGTGGAATGTGTACAGCGTTGGCCGGTCAATAAGTGCTTGTGAGTTGCTAACTAGCATTTTCTTACAGTCGGCAAAGGAGTTGACCACGACCGCTCGAGTGTTTCCAAGGCGGATTTGGAAGACAGAGTGGCCGTATTGTCGCCACCATTTTTCGCACACTGTGGCATGGTCATCGCCGAGTTGGAGTAGATGACCGAAGATAGGGAGAGCTCCAGGGATCTCGGGCAGGTTGCAGATGTATGGTATATCGGTGTGGGATGTGAGCTGAAGTACGTGAGTTGAGCAGCTCCAGGAATGCTCTGGGAATTCTACACCTTAAATAAAATTATAAGTGTTGCTAGAAGTCCCGTAAGTATCGATACATAGCCTAATGGTGCGTCCCAAATGCGATCCATCCATGATTCTAGAAGCGTATACATAATGTCGACGAACTAAATTGATTCGAAGAGGTGAAAGACATCTTCAAAGCAGATAAATATATCTTCAAAATATATTACGTAGGCTTCAATCTTCAGATGATCAATTGGCTGCGATCGGAGAAAGTCGCGTCGGCTCTTAGAGGGAGCTGCCGGATAGCGCTTCCTAATCGGATATCACCCATACCCGTAAGTGGTGCTTATCGCATTGCACGCCCAGTCTCTGATAGTCAGAATTTGTAAGGTCAATGCATATTTGGCAGTTTCGAGGTAGTTTTCTTCAGAAGTCTCCTAGCTTTGGAGATTAAATAGTCTGTTAAATAGACTGCATTGGGTGAAGGACAGAGATGATCAAGATAACGCAGCTCCGAACGTGTGTCCAGTTCGAAAGTTACAAATCATATTGGTCTCAATACGCGACGCATTCCCACGTGCCAAACCTTCAGTAGAAGAGTTTAGAGTAGCTACAAATCCAAGAGTTTTGCATGCTTGATCTCTGTGCCATCGACATACTCTTTGATCTTGGAATACTTTTGGAATCCTTCCGTCGTCGCAAATTCATAGTGCTGTTCGACCTCCTTCCAAGGGCACCAAAGAACGAACTCATCTTTTCCCTCCTCAGGGTCCACACGCCATCCGCTTCCGATTGTTCCTTCCGTGACGTAATCCTGCAGGAAGTGTTTGTGGCTCTCGAATGTCTCCTTGAACTTGCCCTTCTCTACCGTCTTGATGAAGTGCCGGCCAATACTCCAAAGCTGTGGTCCACCCCCTGTCGTGCCACTGGTCCCTTTTGGCAGAGGTAGTGCCGAGTGAGGTGCGTCGATGTGGAGCAGCCAATCCACTGTCAATTCGTTTTTTAAACTTTCCAGCACAGCCTGATTATCCCCTGAAGGGATAAAGTTGTTCATGTGCTGGTCGAGAGAATCCCACTCTCCAATGATGTAGAGTAACGAGGGGTCCTCGACTTGCTGGAGGTAGTAGAACCGACGGCCTGTATACTTCTCCATCACGTCTTTTGCATGAGAAAGCTTTGTGCACAGGGAGGCATCGTTGGCATTCGTGGGGGGAAGGAGTCGTAGGAGGGCGATCTCGGTAATGGCCATCGAGCGCTGATGCGTGCAGGGCCAAGGCTGTGAAGATTATGACGGGGGGAGGAGTGCTGAGAGCTATAAGCCAATTGATCGTTAGCAAGAATCATTGTCCTTTGAATATCGTAGTTATAGTCACAGCTTGTTGCTGTTGTTTCCCAGGCAGAAACGGCTTGCGTGGAAGAAGTGCTGGACAATAAATGCCAAGTCCATGCGTTAGTCAGCGCTTGGCATCACGTGAGATAGTTCCACCTTTAACGTGGTTTTCCGTCTCGAGTTGACGATGCTTCTTCCGCTACCACTACTTACAGCGAACAGCTCCGAGAAAAGCGATTAAAAAGGATTATGACACTAACCAAAGTTTTACTCTACAGGCCGAATGTATTACTTGAACCCAACCACGCCTAGCTCCCTTCAGCATGCATAGCCCGCCCCATCCACAGGAATACACGCCCCTGACGTATACTTGCTCTCCGACCCCAGCAGATATCCAACTAGGGATGCAATCTCCTCGGGGTTTCCGTCCCGTGCAATGGGTGGCTTTGGTAAAGCTGTACCCGCGTAGACTTCGTCTAGCATTGGTGTCTCGATGGGACCGCTAACCATGCGTCAGTACAATTGCCCCAATAGTTTTTAGTTATTCGGGGACTTACGGGCAGATGGCATTTACTCTGATGTTCCTTGGGCCAGCTTCTTTCGCCGCACATCTCGTCAACCCGATCACTGCGTGCTTGGAAACGACATAAGGCGACAATCCAGGGAAGCCAGTTAGACCAGCAACACTGGAGAGATTGACGATGCTTCCACCTTCCTCAATTATCTTCAGTTCTGCTCTCAAGCATCTCATAGTCCCTCCGACATTAACCTGTTGAACTCTCTGCCAGTCTTCGTCCTTAAGATCGGTGATTTTTGCCCATTTCCCGAGGATACCGGCATTGTTGACGGCTCCGTCAAGCTTGCCAAAAGTCTGTTTGGTTTCTGCGATCCATTCGTTCACGGAGTGGGTATTTGATACGTCAACCACTGTCGTGGTAGTTTCGACATTGGGGAAATCCTTGGACATTTGCTCATGTGCGGTTTCCAGCTCCTTTCTTTTGACGTCGGCAAGTGCCAGATTGGCACCTCGAGCTGCAAGGTAACGTGCAACTGCGAGGCCGATGCCTTGGGCGGCTCCTGTCACGGCAATGACTCTGTTGGCAAATATTTGTGGTGTAGCCATTGTTAAGTGTATTAAGCAGGTAAGGAATTTATCTTAATTGTTCATGTCTCTTCCGACGCTTTGTAAATACTCCAAATTTCGTTTGTCTTCCGATCACGTTGAGCACTAAGGTGGGTTCCTCGGTGAGGAGACCTCATTCGAGGAGGCAGTTGAAGGCAGATTCAGCACAAAGAGAATCACGATCATTGCGACAATGGAATGATTACGAAAACAACAGCGCCAAACAGAAACTCTGGGGATCTGGGGGACAATCCTCGCGAAATCCCGAATACGGGGTAACGCGATCGGAAAATTATTCATTCGCTAAACACAGTATCTCATCACACATCATTCGCTAACCTTATATCACGTTACACGAGACTTTGTCCCACTCCGAAGCTAGACTCTTGTCTTCCAAGCTTGTGTTATCGAAAGATGCCTGGAGTTGTTCAGCCTCCATCGGTGAAACAGCACACCAGACATTCGCAGCAAGATCGGAGGCTCCCTTCCTCTTTTTGTGCTTTCTCTTCTACTTCTTCTTGCTCTTGAGTAGCTCTTCCGCTGCATGGTATTCGAAAGCTGGATTTCTCCCATTGACATATGCAGGTTGCGGTTGTTGCGCGTAGTCGTTCTGGCTATGGCTTGGTTGGATATATCCAGGTTGAGGCGATCCTGATTGGTACATGTTGGGGTCGTATTGTGAGTTGTACGCCATTTCTCCACATAACGAAGTGTTCAAGGGTTGCTGGCAGCATGGAGAGGACGGCCTTAACCATTCGAATTCGGTTTAGTTATAGCCCAATAGAAATAAGTGGTGAGATGGAATAGAGAATCTTCAAATATGTAAGACGAGCGAAATTAAGTTCGATAGATATTCACAAAGCCTATCGGATGTCAATGCTTCATTATATACCACTCTACGGCATACTTACTGTCTCTGTGTTCTTTCAAGGGAGCCTAATGGCGTCATATCACGTTCCACGAGATCCCAGCTCCATCGCGAGGTCGAATACCGATCAGTACTACTACGCCCTTGTATTAGCATCCCAAAACAACCCTCCCAGAAGAATTTTTCAAAGACTCGGTATTGCCTTAATGTAAAACACTATTCGTGGAAATTTGATTTCAAGATCTGTAAGCTGGATTGCTGTTCTATGGTCGATCTTACCACAACAACAGGGACACTATCCTCTGATAACGGGACTGTTAGACGAATTAAGTTTGTGGCTTGGAAGTAGAATCCTTGGCTTGTGTTGGACATTGGGGGTGATGGAGAGTTTCGAGGGAGTCGGGGCCGAAGGTGCAGGTTGATGTCATATATCGTAAAAATATATTGAACATAGCTTCATACAGCATGATATTACCAATTTACCAACCTGAAAATTAAATAGGACGGGGCTTCTCTGCTAACACTCTTTGCTGGAGCATGGATAGAATGTTGATAGGATGCAGATTTCTATCTTGAAATACCCTAGTCATATTCCATGTTGGGCAATAAGACGTAGTGCTTTGCTTCATCTCAGTTTATAAAAATTCTATCCTACGCGGTAATATTATGTGCTTCTCAAAAGGTCCCCGAAACTAGCTGTTTGTGAACACCGATTTTGGCGACTTTTCTGCCTAGGCTGTAGCCACTGTAAGTGCCAAACGGCCCGAAACGTCCCTCGAGGCCTTGCTCGACCCTTGGTCCTTGTGGATACCTCACCCGCTGCGCCTAAACTGCCGCACACCGATACTCAGATTTTCGCTTTCTAGGTCATCTTCAGAAACTTCTCTACTGTTCTTTGTCACTTGCTGCCCAGCAGCAGCTCCGTCCCCGTATTTCTGAAGGTATAAATATGGCATTCGTGAGTTCCCTCAGGCTTCTCTAACTCCCAGAAACCTAGCTTCCCAAACTTTCCATGCAACTAGGACCCAAGTTTATACATGTAAGTCGGCGGGCTCTACGATGGATTGCCCAATCAACCTTCGGCTTAGCGTCTCATCATACTATATTAAATCCCATAGCTCCTCGAACCTTCAGTCTACAATACATCTCTTCTTTCACAAATCATGCCCCCTACGAGGCTACAATACATTTTCATGTTCTTCAGCGTCTCTACGAGAATATTTACTCCAACAGTAGTTACAGTTATCGATATGGAAAGGAACTGTAAGCCGGAGCATTCCGCCCAGAACAAAGGCTTTACCCGAGACTTTGCTATAAATCACTCTATTTCGATGATTTGGCTCTGGCCTTACGCCCCATTACCGACGCACCTGAAATGTGGAGCTCAATTGACTAGGCGAGGCCTTTCGAGAGATCCTATTGATGAGGGGTTTCTAGCAAATTTGGTATGGCCGCTATATATCGGGACTGCAGGATCCTGTTTGGAATGCAGATCACGTACCATTATAAAATGTCTGATATCAATGCTGTCACAATATAATGTCGTGTCTACCACGCAATTTCTTAGCTTACGGATCTTGTCGCGCATGACATCTCGAGATCAATTTTTTGGAACCTTGCTGGAGTCTTTCTCTTCTCCTAGAGCTTATATCTAGGTTAGAGGTGTAGCTTGATATCAATAATATTTGATACTCTCTTGCGTTGGAGAATCACTTTGCATTCGGTTGTGGAAGCTCTTTGAGAACGCACCAAGAGTCGGCATTACCTACGAGAAAGCCTCCTATAAGTATAGCCTCAAATCGCCCGGGTTTACCTGCGCCTCAGATACAGATGAATATAGGGATAAAATAATATAGAACTTTCGAATCTAGTTGTTGAATAATATCTATAGTTTTTAGTTACACATAGGGCTCTACAATTGGCTACCAAATCAAGCAAGGGCTTGGCGCCCCATGCTATGATATACTAAGGCTGCATTTTAAGAACTAGCAACTAGCTCGGTAAACAATTGTATAGTAACATAACTGCTTAAAATGGCGATTGCCTTTCCAGGCAATCCATTCTCATTATCATTGGCCCGCCAGCTCTTCCACCTCTTTCCGATGGTTTTTCCGGTTCCGCCTGACCTCCACTCGCAGCGTGGAATACCTTGGGTCTTTCCTTCTTCCACCTCCATTCCTCCTATACTATTCCTCACCCCTCCTTCCCTCTTTCTCACACCCCTCAATGAGGCCGTCCTCCCTCTCTTTCTCCCTGCCTCTATCCAATCCATCGCCGATGCCACACTGGGAGCTGCGACTTCCTTCCGTCCCTTCCCTCATCATCGCCCACCCTCAACGCAGCGCTCACCTATGCTGGCCCTCGCACCGCCCGTCCCCATTTGTTGGCCTCTTCTCTCCATCTCACTCGCGCTCCTCGTTACACACTTTCTAGCGCACGTCCATGCACATCAACATCTCCGCATCCCCTCGTTTTCCAGTCCTCCTACTTCACACTCACACCCTAGACTGCGCTCTTGTGGACGACGTCTTTCCCGAGTGGTCTACTGCTAAGTAGTACGTTGCCCATGCCCTGCCCCAACAGCATTCTATCCTTCACCACCATCGGTTAGTGCAATACACCCGTATCGCGTTTCGCTCATCAAATCCCGTAGAGACAGTTTCTCTTAGCGTATCTAAGAAGAATTCGATTAGGAAACAGCGGCGTAGCTCTATCACTAGCCGTCTGTGTCTAGGTAATCCGTAACCATGCGCAGAGGTGCAAGAGGAAACGCGAGGACTGCGACCAGCCAACCAGAAAAGCAAGACAGTCAATCTGAGGAGCTGTTGAGACTGATTGTCGAGGCGTCGCCCAGCGCGATGCTTTTAATCGACAAGTTGGGGTCGATCACCCTTGTCAATGCACAAACTGAGCATCTATTCGGCCATAGGCGAGAAGACCTGTTGGGAAAATCGGTCGAGATGCTGATCCCCTCGCGCTTCCGCGTCCGTCACCGGGGCTACTGCGAAGACTTCTTCACACACCCCGACGTCCGCCCGATGGGCGCCGGACGCGAGCTCTACGGCCTGCGTGCTGACGGCACCGAGTTCCCCATCGAGATCGGGCTCAATCCGATGGTGATAAATGAAGAGCGCATGGTCATCGCATCGGTCATCGACATCACCAAGCGCAAGCAGGGCGAACAGCACCTCCGGCTCGTCATCGATGCGACGCCAATGGCAATGGTCATTGTTGATTGCGAGGGCATCGTCCGGCTAGCCAACGCGACTTCGGACAAGCTCTTCGGCGCAATGCCCAGCCGGCTGATCGGCGAGCGCATCGAGACATTGATCCCCGAACGTTTCCGTGCCCAGCATCCCAACTTCCGGCATGGCTTTTCCGTGCATCGGGTTACCCGACCGATGGGGACCGGGCGCAATCTGTATGCGCGCCGCCTAGACGGGACAGAGCTTCCCGTCGAGATCGGGCTTAGTCCGCTGGAGACCGAGGAAGGCCGTTTCGTCATCGCCTCAATCATCGACACCACCGAGAGGCAACGCAACGAACGGCTGCAGGCGCAGGTCGACGTAGCCGGGGCTGAGGCCGCAAGCCGCGCCAAGAACGACTTCCTGGCGATGATGAGCCACGAGCTCCGCACTCCACTCACTGGTATCTTGGGCATGATCGAGCTGTTACGCAGCGGCCACTCGACCGAGGAGCGTGAGACGCTGATGAACGCCATACAGTGTTCGTCCAACAGCCTCCTCACTGTCATCAGCGACATTCTTGACTTCACCAAGATCGAGGCCGGCCACCTCAGCATCGAAAACATCGATTTCGAGCTGACCTCCAAGGTTGACATGGTCATTCAACCGTTTATCAAGGTCGCCCTCGACAAAGGTTTACGGCTTAATTACATCGGCCCCGACTCCTCGGCGGCGCCATTCATCGTTCGGGGTGACCCAACACGCTTGCGTCAAATAATCGTCAACCTAGTGGAAAACGCCATCAAGTTCACTAAGACCGGTGAGATCGAGGTCGGGGTTTGTGCACCAGAGCACGACGACAGCGAGCACTGGCGGTTTTTCGTTCGCGACACAGGCGTCGGCATCGAGGAGATGGCGCGAAAGAAGCTCTTTGAGCCGTTTGTCCAAGCCGATCAGTCCATAACGCGCAAATTCGGCGGAACAGGACTGGGGTTGGCCATCTGCCGCCGTCTCGTCGTGGCGATGGGCGGTGAGATCGGCGTGCAAAGCACAGTGGGCGCCGGCTCCACTTTCTGGTTCACCCTGCCGCTGCGCAAAGGCGATGCTACCGTGCTCAAGCGCTGCTATCAACTTAAGTGCGATCCGCTCGCACGCACGCTGCACCCGCTCAAAATCCTAGTCGCCGAAGACAACGAGATCATTCAAGCGCTCGTCGGTAAGATGCTTGAGCGGATGGGGCACCGGGCTGTTTGCGTCGGCGACGGCTACACGGCGTTGCAAGCGGTCAAACATGGTAGTTACGACCTAGTGCTGATAGATATGCATATGCCCATCATCGACGGTGCCGAGTGCACGCGCCGCATCCGCCAACTTGACGGCGACGCTTCTAGGATCCCGGTAATCGCATTAACCGCTGACGCCATACTCGACCACCACAAGCGCTACATCGAGGCTGGCGTCGAGGAGGTGCTTACTAAACCGATCGACCTCATACAGCTGCGTACGAGCCTCGACCGGATCGAGCAAGCTATCACGGGCAAGGCGGCCTTCGATAGGGAGCGTGTCCGCACACTACCTGATGCAATCGACGAAGATGAGGTGAAGAAATCGTTCGGCAGCTTCGTCCAAAACGCGGTCAATCAGCTTTCCATGATAGGCGATGTATCGGCTGTTCGCGCTATAACGGTTGCCGAGGCGACCGAGGCGGTCCAGCACAGTGAGCCTGGCACGCTGGGGCGTTCCGTCGAGACGCTCGCCGAGCGGCTTGACACCACTTCACGTGAGACGGCGGGGTGACTAAAACGCAGTGACACCGCAACAATTTCCAACTCATCCGGTTTAGTTGATCTCCCGATCCCCGACCTGTGCACGCTGCTAATCAGCAATGTATAGTAACCGGTGGGTCGGAAAAAGGACTTACGTTGTAGTTAGGCTGTGAAGTTGGTTGGAAGTACCTGTTGAATTCCTGCTCTCTCAGCTCACGTCATTACTGGTGGCGTGTCACCTAATTCGCTATAATACACCGACAACCTTTAAGGTTACCATAGACCTAACTCTTGCTTATATAGCTTTGGTGTGCTGTTAACTGAGCACAGAGTAGCAATCACCTATATGCGTAGACACCGAAACCACGGTCACTCCACTTGGAGCACGTAACAAGAAATGTCGTACTGTTTCTGTTAGTGCTCTCTCACACCTGCATCCTTCAGATTCAGATCCCCCTATTTTTGTAGGGTAGTAGTTCAACTTGCTCTTTCCTGTACATAGTTAGGAAGGAAAGGAGGAGAAGTGGTGAGAAAGCAAGGTGTGGAAAGGAAAATTGGAGGAGAAGGGAGAAGGAATGAGGACCACAAAGGCAAGAGGCGGCTTTTTCGAAGATGACAATAGAAACGAGGCCGGATAAAATGACGGAGCGATCAGAACGCCAGCGCTAAACCGGAAAGGGACCGCTAAACCGGAGCTGGAAGTTCGGTAGCACTAATTTTACTCCATATTTCTCAGCCAATCCCCTCCTTCACCCATCAAAACACTACCTCCACCACCACTACTACTACTCGCTGCTGCTGCTCCCGAAATCGCCCAACTTCTTCTTGTTCTTCTTCGCTTCTGCCGTTTGTATTGCTCTGCTACGTCGTATTCGAATGCAGGATGGCCCATGCCTTCTTTGAAGGCAGGTTGAGGTGAGGGACGGAATGTGATTAAGTCGAATGATTTCGAGGATATGCAAACCATTTTGAGATGTTGGAATATTGGCCTTGGGTGGTCGAGTGTGGAGAGGACACCTGCGATATGCACCTTAATCTGGCATTTGGTATGTGTTTAGGATGTGAGCGCAGATGCGGTGAGGACTGTGGAAACGCTTTGCTTTGGATATAGAGTCAAAGTCTAAGCGATGAAGGGCAAGGCTCGTATCTGAAGTTCCACCCCGTTGGAGTGTGGTGATGAAGAAATTAGATCGGATGGTCTCGCGATACTTTCCTACATCTTACTTCTGATCCTGTGGTTCGTCATTGCACATTCAGTATGACCTGAAGATCAAAATAGTTAAAGATCAGTATATTATAGCCTTTCAATGACAGGGTCCCCTTTTCAGAAAAGTTTCGTGCTCCACAAGACCATCTGCGCCTTTGCCAGTGCGCGTGGAGTTGCCCATGCCCCGGGGGGGATTATTTGTGATGCACATATGCTTCTACTAATAGCACTCTAACTAGTAGTGTGAAGCATCATCCAATGTCTGCTTCGCACAAAGAGACTACACTGAATAAAACGAAGTCGGCGTCTTGAACACACGATTGCAGGCTGCGGAGAGCCGATGGGCTGGCTGATGCAACAGCTTAGCGAGACATTTGGCTGGGTTCGCTCACCATTCTCATCTTCCTTCAAAACATCGTGAATGCCATGTTGTGTCACAAGCTTGTTTAAGAGGCAGAGCGTGCGCCACACCATTCAATGATTGCGCAGGGATAGGATCGCACCCGCAATTTAATTTGATGAAGTCACTTAAAGTGGACCATTCAGAGGCAAATCCTAAGCTCGAGCCCCTGCCCTCGAGTCGCGTGAAGCGTTGAAGCGCTTCCCACCCTCGCCAAGCACCGCTCTGCGAGGTCTTTGCCGCATTCGTATCCCTTCCCCAGCTTCCCCCTCGCCATGTTTGTGCGCTTGTCCTTCACCTTTTCGCCCTGGGGTGCGTCGTAGCATCCCTCATTGGCAGCGCACTCCGACGTGTTTACTCGTATGATATCCCTCCCCTGATTGCATCGGCTCGTCCGTAGGATCTCGCCACACGTACCATGGTATCTAGTTTATGTACAAGATGAATGATTTCCTTCTCCACCATGGTGTTCACTGTTCTTTCTGTCGCTCTTTCGGTCGCTCTCTACACACTCACTTTTTCCCAACCTTTCCCGTCGTCCCTGTAGGTCCTCGAAATGGGCAACACTTCCAGTACAGCTGTGCAGAAATGCTTAACAAGTGCAGTAGGAGGGAATACTGCGCTTTTAGCCTACAAAGAGACCCCTTTCTACCAGCTCAGTCATGTCAAGCCCTATAATCTCGATATCCCAATAACGCCTGCTGCGGTGACTTACCCAATGACGGTCGACCATGTCGCTGCGATTGTCAAGTGTGCTGCGGACAATAACCTCAAAGTCCAGGCCCGCTGTGGAGGTCATTCATACGCGAATTATGGTACGTGAAAGGCTTTGCTTCCTCTTATGCACTTGCTTATACAACCCCTAGGTATTGGCGGCCAAGACCAAGCCATCGTCGTCGACCTCAAGAATTTCCAGCAATTCTCCATGGACAAGTCAACTTGGCAGGCGACGATTGGTGGGGGAACGTTACTCGGGGATGTGACCAAGCGACTTCACGATAATGGTGGTCGTGCAATGGCACACGGAACCTGTCCACAAGTTGGCATTGGTGGACACGCAACCATTGGCGGTCTGGGACCAACTTCTCGCATGTGGGGTTCGGCTTTGGATCACGTCCAGGAAGTCCAGGTTGTACTGGCAAATTCAACTGTGGTGCGCGCATCTGAGAGGGAGAATTCCGACGTCTTCTGGGCCTTGAAAGGGGCGGGGGCGAGTTTTGGCATCATTACCGAGTTCAAAGTCCGGACACAGGCGGAGCCCGGCGAATCCGTCCTCTACTCGTATAGTATTCAAGCCGGAAATGCCGTTGCGAAGGCCAGTGCGTTCAAGAAATGGCAAGCTCTTATTTCAGATCCAAACCTCTCCCGGAAGTTTGCCAGCCAGTTCATCTTGTCTGAATTGGGCGTTATCATTACTGGAACGTACTTTGGGCCCAAGGCAGAGTACGATAGTCTCAACATTTCGAGCAGACTGCCGGCGAAAGACGAGTCGGTGATTATCCTAAAGGATTGGCTTGGCGTGGTCAGCCACTGGGCGGAGGATGTCGCACTGCAGATTGGTGGAGGTATTTCCAGCAACTTCTACTCCAAGTCTTTGGCGTATACAAAGAACGACCTCATTCCGGAGTCCGCTATCGACCAACTGTTCAATTACGTCGACAAGACAGACAAAGGCACACTGGTGTGGTTCGTCATTTGGGACCTGGAAGGCGGTGCCACTGAGGATGTCGCGTCTGACGCAACGGCGTATGGACATCGAGATTCTCTCTTCTACTCACAGTCGTACGCGGTTAACCTAGTTGGCCGCGTGACGCCGAATATTAGAGACTTCTTGAACGGATTCAACAAGATCATTCAGGACTCTCTGCCAGGGCACAACCTTGGAGCATATGCTGGATACGTGGATCCAGCACTGACGGAACCGGGCATGGCGTATTGGGGGAATAACTATCCCAGGCTTCAACGGATCAAGGCTTCAGTTGATCCCAAGGATATTTTCCACAACCCGCAGAGTGTGAAGCCTGCGACGACGTGAATTGTTCCATCCTAGCATCTCATATTCCTATAGTGGAGTCTTGGATATTTTCAGGTTATGCTTAAATAACTCAGATGGTAAGAGAGAAGGCGCAGGAATGCCTTTCACCTGATGATATACCCCTCATGAATCCAACTAGGGGAATGAAGACTCTATTTCTTTTCATTTTGTGTCTGAACCTCACTGTGCGGGAGTATTTCGTTCTGGTATCATCTTAAGTAGATGTTCGATTTTCACGGACGGCATGCCTTCCTCAATCGGCACTCTACCAAGGCCCAACGTCAGCGTCGCACATACCTCGCTAGCGTTTCCCTAGCCCCTACCTTGTCCTAACCTCACTCTCCTATTTCCTTATTCTCCTTCCATCTTCACTGCATGAACCATTGTTATGTTGATTTTTTTTTTGACACCACTGCAACGCTCAAGCATTCTGCTTAAGCCCCAACTCCTTTTTTAATGCATATCCGACTTCAAATGTTGAATCTTCTCTACCAGTTTCAGTGTCCTCTTTCTGTCGACATATTTCCACCACGTAAAGCATTCACAGTTCTTTATTACTCTCACTCTTACACCTTCCTTATTTAGTTGGATGACACATGACTCCTATACGCTCACGCTTTGCCCTGGGAGCCTCAGGTTCTCCACCTGTCCATTCCAAACACTGACCCCAATTTAGCCACACTCCGCTATTCTTAAATTTCTTCGTACGCATAGAGATGATATCGTGTCCTATTTCCTCCGGTCCATTATGCTAGAAATGGATCCGCTAACCATCATTGGCTTGGGCTTCAAGGCTATATTGAGGAGTGTTAAATTCTATCGATCCGGTGGTACGGATAGGGAAAACAAACCATAATATTAGAAATAGAGCATTCGCGGTCCTGAGAAAGTCGTATAAGTCGACAAAACGGATAATAGCTTCCATCATTTGACAAAAGGACGTTTGTAAGTTTGAGCACGAAGCACAAAAGATCTACAGAAGAGCCTTCATCACCGATCGAAGGTATACTGCGACTAAACATGGCTGTACTCTACGGATAGTTAACGAAACTCTCACCACCATCAATCGGAGCTCAAACCTAGCAGATACTGAACGTTTAAGGCCGATGTGACCCGGTGAAGTTTCCTGAAATGTAAAGAATCTCAGAACTGGGTAGTCGTATCACATTCTGGCTCCGATTTTGACGATGAGTTCTTGCGTATGTCAATCATCGAGTTGTCTTACCATTAGCATAAACCAAATCGTATCCAGGAGTTCTAGTTGTCCACCATCTAAATAAAGGGAAATTGCTTCGAGCGAGTTGAGTCTAAGATGCCATCGTCTGCATATTTTGCAGTCATGATAGTGGAGCAATATTGATAGAATACAAGAGTCGTCCAGAAAAATTACCAGAGCCCATTTGTAGTCCTCATCTCAAGAAATCCAGAATTTTGATCTTCCCTAATTCCAATTCCGACGATGAGATCGCTGATGAACCATCAATGTAACGTATCAGAATCGTAAGGTTAGCGTATCCATGTGTCGCACCGATCAAACACCCAAGAACGTCGAAGGCGCATCATCGCTGCTACTATAAAATATTGCTGTAAAGAAGGGTTTACTTCTAGCCATGTTGCTAGCTTAGCAAGGAAGATATATGAAACAGAATCTACTCCGCTCCGGACGATCCACTTGTATAGCTGTTTCAACACAGCATTGGAGACATTCGCTCGAGACAAGATATAACGAACACTCTGGATCAAGATTTGCCACTGAAGCAATCATTGCGATGGCTGTGTCATTGGTCGTGGGACGAATGATGGAAATAGCTTTATTTTGAATCTCAACGTGATGTGGATTCATCTGCCAAGCTTCCTGCGCTTCGTTTGGGGAGAGCAGATAATTACTTCTTTTGCTTATGCAGCTTGGCCCACTTGGAGGCTTTCCGCGGTACGCAGCCCGAGCCCACTTACAAGACACGAGCCCCCTCCTGCTAGCAAGTACCACCGCGAGCCGTGAAGGGCCAACGCTCACGATCTGGTGGATCGAAGAATTGTCATAGTCCTTTTGGCTTCCGAAGTCAAGAAGACATTCAAGTCCGTGTGAGCTTTCACGAGCCCGCAGTGTCGTTTGCCAGAAACTTTGATTAGTTCGCGCGATTTGTTCCACTTCACCGAAATTCGAGGCGGGTCTTTTTAACAGTGCTCGATCTACAAGGGCTTCATATCTCTTTTTCTCATGGTATATTCGTCCAGGAACAACGTGAATGCGGGCCACCGCATTTTGGTCCACTGAAGGTTCCCGTAGGACTCCTAAGAAGGCAACGATCCGATTGTTGGAAGCTGCAGACAGTGAAATGCTACTTGACAATGCTCGTTGACCAGAAAATATCTCAAGTACTGAGTGGAGCCGAATCTCGACTGCTTCTTCGTAGCCCTCTTGCATGGAGATGGAAAAGTTGTTGTCGAAGTCCAAGCAGAACGCTATCTGGCCAATGGCTTCAATGGTGCCTCGACCCAGATGCGCTGACCGCCTCTGATTCAGTTGGCGTCCATACGCTCGTGCAAGGCCGCTGCGCACCGGTAATAACGCATCGCTCTCCAAAAAAACCGAGCCGAGCACTCTGGAGAGGTAAATGATAGTCTCTGCTATGATAACCTGGCAGAACTGATCTGGGTCCCAGTCATCTTCAGGGTCAGTCTCCAAAGATTGATGCGAACCAGAATCGGTGAGCATTTCATCACCATCCGCGCTAACGCTATGGGACGGGATTGCAGAAGACCCCCTCTTGTCCGCAAATTCAAACCCTGTGGAAGTTGACTGGCAAGTTCGGCAACCACAATGCGATCTTATTTTGCTGATACAGAATTCATACGTCTTCCGTGCCTTCTTGAGATCATATCGGACACCTTCTTGCATGTATTTCTTCAGTTTCTTGAGCTCTGGGAACCATTGTAGAGTGCTAGCCACCAGACCTGGGCCGAAGGAGTCGTCCGAGTAGCCAGTGCAAGCCAGTTTAATGAGGTCCGGGAAGCTACTATGCCCTTCTGCCAATGCCTTGAAAATTCTTGATGCGCTTCCAAGAAGCTCGCCGAAGGTATTTGGTATATTCATTAGCTCCTCGAAGTCTAACTGGAAAGTCCTCGTGAGCGCTTCCTTCCAGTCCAGTCGACCTGAGACCACCACAGCACTTGGGCTTAGGCTCCCGTCTAATATCCTGGACACATCTTCCAGAATGTACGCCCGCCCGACGCATTGGAGGCTCGTCGATGTCTGCTCAGCATTATCCTGGAACACTATCTTGACCTGGACGCTATCGGGGTCAGTATGATTGCAGTAGAACATCTCCCCATCGCTTTTCTCCATTGTAACCCTTAATTCGAAGAACCATTCTGCTACAGCAGCGAGCCAACCAGCGTCCGCACCCCCTACAAATGTGACCGCTTCCAGTTCGTTGCGCGTAATACTTGCTAGCGCAAACAAGCACTTGGCAATGGATTGGGGGCTTGAACAACTGCGTAGTGCCTTCGGGAGGCCTTCGAAGCGTTGATATACCCCGAGGCGTTGGTTGCTGTTCGGAAGTTGCATGAGATGTTCGGCTCGCCTAGGAAAGTCTGTGACGGCTAGCACTCCAGCACAAGCAGTGAGCCAATCTTTCCAGTGGGAACTCGTTGGCATAAATTCAGGGCTCGCTTTGCACAGCCTTGCCATCTCCAAAAGTACATCGATGGCGATATCATCATGGTAGCACTCCTTCAGTGCGGCACACAGAGCTAACCCAGTTGCTCCAGCCTCTGTCTTCGAAAAAGAGCGTATAACATCTTCAATAGCAAACCCGAACTCCAAGACATCTCCGGCGCTGCCGACGACATTAAGGCTACTAATAGCAGACTCTATGTTCTGACGGCCGTGGCGTGACAGCCAAAACTGAGAAGACATGCATTGGACCACAGCTCCAGTATAAGGATTGACCCTTCCGGCCATATATCTTGCGAGGAGACCCAAAGTTGCCTCGTATGGAACTCTGGCAATTTCGAACATGTTCCAAGATGCCGTTTGTGGAAATCTAGGCTGTGTCGCCCCGCCCATTACGGGCCTAGTGCCGGATCCGTGGGACATATTGTGCGTCGTATGAAGTCGTTACAGAGTTGGTTGGTCTCGAGGTAATGTAGGAAGTTAAGAAACGACTTCAGCTACCATACTGCATCAGCTTGACCGTTCCCAGAGGCTGGAACAGGACTTGCCGCTGGAAATCCCTCAATGACAGTTGGATATTTGTCATCAGGGCATTGAATAACGGTAAATGGAATTATCTCCTAATAGCTGTTACCATAGAATACCTAGGCGTTGGTTTCCACGATACGTCAGGCAAAGGAAGGATTAAAGTTAAGGAGTAAGGCTGTCTTCCGGTTAAGGCGATATTCAGCCTCAGCCTTGCTGACCAATATTCCCTCAAACGCAGCAGGAGAGGGGCAGCCCAATACCTTCTGCCAAAAGTATCAACGGCAACCGAAAAAAGCCATCCTTCAATCCAATTCAAGAGCGAGACATGTTATGCTCTTATAGCACGAGGACATGCCAGGGTGAGAGGGTAGAAAATACATCTTTGCTCCCCCTACACTAGAGAGACCGGTTTGCGCATGGTCCAAGATGCTCCTGATTTTGAAGACTAGCCTAGTCTGTCTTTTTGACGGCATTAATAACAGACGCCCATAAATGATGGTTAGAAGCATGAATTGGATTGCTAAAAAACGAACGCACACCAGGCCAATGGCATCGCCTTCTCTTCCAGCAGGAGACTGTTGTTCTGACAACCTACAATAATGTCAACCGAGAATATGAAGTCAGTACAGTTTAGAAGCAGTGTACAGTGAAGAGAGGCAATATGTAGCTTCGAGAAATAGAGTTCTATAGTGTACCTACCACAAGCGTGACCCCTCTACCGCCACGACGTCACCACCACCTCTGCCACTGCCCCTCGTTCGACACCTCATCCACTTCCCAAGTCATCACCACCAACGCGCCATTTCCTATTTCCTTATTTGCTCCTCCGAACCACACCCAAGATAGGGTCCACGCTGAGATAAGTACCCTGATATAATCCTTCATTGGACACCAAAATGCTCCCATGCCGGCGGAGATATTTCGGAGAGTATGGCTCCGCTACTTATGAGAAAACTTTCCATGTTATACCTCTCTTCAACAACTTCGGACACTTCGGAAAGTATATTTCCTCTGGTTATGGGCTTGTATATGCAAAGGAGAGTACTGTCATGTCCCCGACACCTTCCCCTGTCAGCCACTATTTAAATCATTCTTGCTTGGGTATATATACCGCCAGAATGCTTGAATATAGAACTCCCTCTATCTCTCCTAGACAGCTATCCTTCAAATACCATTTCCCTTAAACTCGAGAAAACAACCCACCTTTTCTAAGCTTCTCTTTTACCAATCAAAAACCCCTCCACACCCCAACCATGCGCCCCCAGATTGTCGACGCGCTCATCATCGGCGCTGGACCTGCCGGACTCACCGCTGCCCTAGCTTTCGCCCGCACTCGTACCACAGCTCTAGTTTTTGATTCCTCATCCTACCGCAACGAAGGCATCAAATACATGCATACAGTTCCCTCACGCGACCACTTCGACCCATATGAATTCCGGCGGATCTCGAGGGAGCAGATCGAGTCTCGATACCATACTGTCTGGTTCGAAAAAGCTACGATCAAGTTTGCGGCGAAGAAGGTGCTAGAAGGGAACTATGAAGGATTTGAAGTTAAGGATGAGAATGGGACGACGTTTCTTGGGAGGAAGTTGATTCTTGCGACGGGGAGTAGAGATGTTTTTCCTGATATTGAGGGATATATGGAGAATTGGCCGTCTCATATGTATGTTCACGCGTCCACTTCTTCACTTAATACTAATGTTAATGACGATGCATAGATACCAATGTCTCGCATGCGACGGCTACGAACAATCCGGTAGCCCCATTGGCATCCTTGAATTCGCGCACCCCATGGCCTCGCACTATGTCAGCTTAGCAATGAACTTCGACCCACGCGTTACAATCTTCAGCAACGGACCTATCTCTACGAAAGCCCCGATCCAACATGCACTGAAGATCGCTAAAGCCTTTGGCGCTGCTGTCGATGAACGTAAAATCACTCGTCTCGTTAACAACGGTCCTTCTCACCTCGATGGTGTGACGGCCGAGTTTGAAACCGGCGATCCGGTGACCTTGGGGTTCCTTGCACACAGACCTCCGACGGTGAACAGAGCGCAGGATTTGGTTGAGCAGTTAGGGCTTGAGACAGTGGATCCAGAAATGGGCGGACATGTTGCTATTAAGGATATGATGTTTAATGAGACGAGTGTACGAGGGGTGTTTGCGGCGGGGGATACAATGGCGTTGATGAAACAAGTCACGATTGCCATGGCAGAGGGAATGAAAGCGGCGAGCGGTGCTGGGAAGCAGATTATGGATGAGAGGGCGGAGGCTGTATTGAAGAAAGTAGAGAGTTTGTAATTTGATTCAATGAACTCTATGGGAAACTCTGGGGATTGTAAGGACTCTTCCATTTATCATCTTCACACATCTTTGCTTTATCCCCATGGCTCTGTGAGTACCGTGCTGTTCTTGCCATGCCAACCCGGCGAAAGACCCTTCTATTGTGAAATTTGGGGTGAAAGAAAAACTAGCAGGGGAGATTGTTATCCCGCGAGAGACCCAACCGGTTGTAGACTTGCCCTTGCGCTATATAATCTATCAAACCAGTCAGCTAATCTCCTTTCTCAAAACGTAGCGTATATTCCGCTTACTGTCAGCCGCTTGGTTTCTCTGAAGCCGTTTCAGCAAGTCCTGTAATGCAGCCGTAAACGAACAACATCGCGAGCTCCTCATCAAAAGCTTCCTCTCAACAAAAGAGTTTGGTGTCGTGTATACGATAACACTTGCAGTCCAAGGTTCGCATATTGGTGCGATGTAGGGTCTATTGTTAAGGGAACTGAGATAATCGTCATAACGTGAGATCACGTCAAAGGTGTGACCGCGCGGATTCTGTGAACCGTATATGGCACGTGCCTCGCCTTGGTATTTGTCAATCTTGTTTACTTTGTATGATGGAGGGGACGAATCGTACTGATGATGAGCTCTTTCAAGAGCCTGATGTCTTGGAGTTCAGCCATGATGGTGGCGTGTCGAGTGGTGTAGGTTTGGGTGGAAGAAGTAGAAGAAAAGGTAGGCAGAAGAAAAGGTAGGCAGGAGAAAGTCGCGCGCTTACATATCCATGGTGTGTGGTCACTTTCACCTTAGCAAGCCAGTAAAATAGTACAGCCAGTGCGTGATTTTACTGTTGGGAACTCCGGGAGCGCTACTAACTCCCGCTACAATTCAAGATGATGGTGTTGGTTGTAGCTCCTACCCCCCAAAAGTATCATCTCAATCTCAATCTCACCTTTCAGTCTTGCATTCGAACCCGCAGAGACTCTATATAGCAGCAAAGGAAGGGGTTCTCTATAATGACAACCTGTCCCTCCCTCAAGTCTAGTCACTTAAGGCTGTCTTTTGATCACACATACAATCACCACAAAGCAGAGCTGCCTTGGATTCCTGTATACTCCCTTCCAGCCCTTCCTAAAGGCGCCTTGTGGTCTCCATGACGGATTTATTCACAAAACTGCACCTCTTTAGGAGCTTCTAGCCAGTAAAAAGCCTGGTCTGGTGTAGTAGATCACGGGTTGTAACGTGGCTAGCACGACGAAACTCAGGCGTGTAGTAGGTTGCGACTTCGTATATCACGTGTTTTCATATGCACACCTACTCAATTGCCTCGACATTCTAATCCGTAATACGAAAGAAGGGAGCCTCAACTGGTTGCATATTCAGTGATGTGGGGGATGGGGTTATCAGGGCAAGTCCTTCTGATGTGGCAAATCGAAATATAGGTGGGCACAAAAGTAAAACTTGTGGAGGAATATAAGAGAAGGTTAGTGTTAGGATCTAAATTCTCAAGGGTTGGGTAACAGCTCCTGCGGAAGTCTTGGCGTCCATGTCCTCTACATGCCTCACACCAAGTCCATGCTAGAGGTTTCCCGGACGTAGATTTGAAGTTCGCCAGCTCTTTCATAATTCCAAACAAAGACTTCACTGCCTCGAGCGGCGTATGCTTTGGCTTTCCCTCAAACAGATATTCACGTAGAGTGGCTTTTACCGCAAAGAAGGGTAGGTTAAAAGAACGCTTGAAGTAGTGTGAAGTGTACGAGTCGCAAGAACACGAAGTACGCAGGTTTCCATATATATCGGTCTAGCTGGCTGCCTTCACTGTCACCCCATCACCAATGTTAAATGAAAACCCTCGTCTTTCACGTTGACGCGACAAATTTGCGGTTCCTTGTTTCTCTTCGATATACTTCCTCTCCACAGCCTCATCTTCCCCACAATATATCCCCGCGGTCTCCTCTCCCTCATCTTTCCCCACTACAACATTCTTTTCTGCAACTTCCTCTCCTGAAAACTGTCCCTCCATATCTTTCTCTTCCTCAACGTTCTCCCCTTGTAATTGATGACATTGACAGAAGCGAGGACGTCGAAGGTGTGGATGGCTGGGTTCTTCGGCCTGTGGATAGCGCGAGCGTGGTCTGTGTTTGGTTATCAAGATTGGCTGTGGGAGAAGGGGGAGGAGGGGGGGGGGAAGGGACATACATACGGATAATACAATAATAAGGTCCTCTAGTGCCTTGATATGCTTTATCTCATTAAGGTCGGTCATGCTTCTACCTATCTGATTATGTCGAAGTTGCCGCAAGTTGCAAGGTACCAAATTCCCGACTTCAGGCCTTTACAACAAAAACCCGCTAATATAAAGCCGACTGATTCAAAGTTATGTCACATACGACCATAGGACCAAGAAAAATCCGAACCCCGTTCGATCTTCGATAGATAATCTCGGTACCGGCGGATTAGTAGTTAGGTGGGTGACCACTAGCGAATACCTGCTGTCGTATGTTTTTGTTCAATTTTTACCGGATTTTTTACAATATTTAACAGTTTTTTTTTATAGTTTTTTTTAATGCGTTCAGTTGAATTGCAGGCAAGTTGTTATGCCAAATGTTGAATTTCCGAAAGCTAAAGGTATTGCATAACTCTCTCTCCCTTTACTTGTTCACCGGCGCCTTAAAATACTTGCTCTGAATAAACGGCATTTTCGTCACCGTCGCTTTCCTCCTCTTCCCCCTAATAACAACCCCCACTTCCGTCCCACTCTTATGCATCCCATCCTGAACATACCCCATCGCAATATTCTTCTTCAGTGACGGCGACGGGCATCCAGACGTGATATTCCCAATCTTCTCGCCAGCTTCGTTTACAACTTCAGCACCTTCACGAGCGGGAGCGCCTTCCACGATAAAACCTACACGACGTCGCGATACACCACCCCCTTCTGACTTTTTCTTGAGTTGTTGGAGAATTACGGAATCGCCGTGAAAACCGCCGCTGGTGCGACGGTCTTTGCCTATGATCCAGGAAAGAGCGGCTTCGACGGGCGTGGTGGAGTCGTCGAGATCGTGGCCGTAGAGACACATGCCGGCTTCGAGACGGAGGGTGTCTCTGGCTCCGAGGCCGGCTAGTCGTAGGTCGTCCTTTGCGGAGTCGAGAAGGAACTGGGCTATTGCTTCTGTCGTGTACGGGGGGGTGCTGATCTCGAATCCATCTTCTCCTGTATATCCGCCCCTGCTGACCAGCACCATCGCATCCGTTCTGGCGATGGTCGCATACATACATTGGCCAAAGTACAACGTTTCCAATGCTGCACGCGACTTCCCGTCCAGAGCGCTAGAAAGAATCTTTGCTGCGAGCGGGCCTTGCAGAGCAACAAGGCCCTGATTCTCCAATAGTTCCCATTCCACGTGTTCATTAGAGTCATTCCAGGCTTTAAGTTCGGCAGCTATATATGCCAGGTCCTTTCCCCGACATCCGGCGTTGGTCACCACGTAGAACTTATCTGGAAGACGGGTGATCACAGTATCATCTACAATTCCGCCTGTCTCGCGATGGAGCAATGTTGAGAGCGTCGAGTTGTAGGGCGGAAGAGAAGAGAGCGAGGAGGGGGTGATTCTTTGGAGGAAGGCCTCGGCTCCTGGGCCGGAGAACTCGTGCTGGACCCTACAATCCCAGTCAGTTTTAAACGTAGTGGCTGTGGGCAGATTTGATCCAGTAAATACATATGTCCAACGTCGAACAGGCTAGCCCTATCCCTTGTCCAATTATGTGAGTCGATGATGCTGAGGCCGCTATACTGCACTGGCATCGAGTAGCCTCCGAATGGTACGAATTTGGCACCATTGGCCGCATGAAGGTCGTAGAGTCCGGTCTTCGCCAGTTTCTCGGGATCCGAGCCAGAGGAAGCATGGCGGACAGGAGCAATTGCTGCTGGAGAGAACTTGCGGGGCCGTGATGTATGAATGAAGGTCGGTCGAGTGAAGAACTGGGCTCTCTGACAACAATTCGCTCGGAAATAAGTTGTTCCAAGGGCATTGGAGGCAGGCCGCAGCACAGAAACCGATCTTTTAGCAGCCATGGCGGTATACGATGGTGTGTGAAGGATGGAAGTTTTTCGGGACGGGTAGTAACGGTATCTGATTTATCGATGCCAATGACGGCAGAAGCTACTCTCTGACCCCGCCGCGCCACGAGCTCCAAGCTTGCCGGAGCAAGCCCACTACAGCTCACCACCTCCCACTCCATCACCACTCCAGGCCCCCCCTGCAACCCCCCCTCCTCGACTCTCTCGCTGGCCCGCAAACATGTCCAAGGGTGCAAAGTACCTGCTAGTCTCCCTTCCCACCTCGATATCGCCCTCCAACCACCCCGATGAAGCTCTCACTGCCCTCCGTTCCACAGTAACTAGCGACTACGGCACCACCTACCCGTTCTCAATTCCGACCTTCAAGATTGGGACACTCGATGCGCTCGTGCAGCAGGCGGATGATCTAGCGAAGCTGGATAGTGCGTGTGAGGGCGTCGTGGGCAAAGTGGGGGATAGCTTGAAAGTCATATTTGACGGCGACGAGGATAAGGCGCTACAACAGAAGACGATCAACGACAGTATGCAACTCGCTCCACGTGCGCTTTGGGTTAGTTTATATGAAGCTAACACTGCCCGTAGAGCCTGTTGACCAGTACCTGCGCACATTTCAGTGGAATAAGGTCAAATACCGGGCAGATAAACCGATCGCGGACTTGATAGACTCGCTACAGAAGGTTGACTCGCTCTCACCCTCCTCTCACCGGCCGAGCCATATGGTTAACATGTGAGCTAGGAAATCTCCGGCATCGATAACGACGTCAAGGCCAAATTCAGCCAGTGGAACCAAGTCAAAACCAACCTTGCCGCCTCACAACGAAGACAGACGTACGCCTAAATTTCTTTTTCCGGCTATCTATATGAGGTCTTCCCCTCCTCCACCAGATTGCTGACTTCTTGCCTAGCGGTAACCTCTCCTCAAGGTCTCTCACGACAATAGTAAAACCCTCCACCCTCATCCAGGACTCCGAATACCTTGACACCCATCTTATCGCCGTCCCCAACCCCAACGTCAAAGACTTCTTCAAGACCTACGAGACCCTCGCACCCATGGTAGTCCCGCGATCCGCAACCCAGATAGCAACCGACGACGAATTCACCCTCTTCGCCGTCGCAGTCTTCAAAAAGCACTCCGCAGAATTCGCCCACAAGTGCCGCGAGAAGCGGTGGACGCCACGCGACTACAAATACAAAGAAGGCGGCAAAGAGGAAGAAGCGCGCGAAGTCGACAAGCTAGAAAAGGACGCACAGAAATTATGGGGGGAGGCTTTACGGTTGGGGCGGACTGGATATAGCGAGAGCGCCATGATCTGGGTGCATGTGCTTGCGCTACGGGTGTTTGTGGAGACGGTACTGCGGTATGGCCTGCCGCTTGACTTTGTCTGCGGGCTTGTGCAGGTATGAACCGGCGCATCTTTAGGCTGTGTTCAATCCCGCGATGAGATAGTGTGGCTGACAGCGTGGGGACAGACAAACTCTAAACAGGCAAAGAAAGTCAAATCAAACCTCGACGCCCAATATTCGTATCTCGGCGGAAACGCATTCGGCAGGGATAGCAAAGGCCGCATCAAGAAAGATGACCAGGCCACGTCAAATGACATGCAGCAAGCTGGCCATATGGGTGATGAGGAGTACTCGGCATATGTTTATTACGAGTTCGAAATCGTATAGTGCAACGTCTTGCCGACGTTTGGGGCGAGCCATTAGCGCCTTGCACGGAGGTTACGTTGGTCGAAAATGGCCGTAGAAATAGCTAAGTCGCCAAATTTATACCTTTGCCATGTTCATTTGTGTTTCATGGGTAGATGACTGTTTTAAAGTTAAGCGGTACTCGCATAACGAATGTGGATTCCAGCGCTAGATTTTCATCGAATAATAATCTCTTTTAAGAGGTGACTTCTTTTACCTCGATGCCAAGAATCACATGCCTGCTCTATGACAGGGTCCAAAGGCCTCAACATGCAGCCACCACTACAAGAAAGCGCTGGTTCCGATTAAAAGTAGCGCCAATTTCTAGTTAACGTGGTACTCAATTCTGATTTCATCGGAAGCAGGTGACCATATTATAAGAAGTAGCTCTAGATGTTCTAAATGGACCCGCAATGAAGGCTCTCTCAATCCACTAGCCAACACCAAAACCACTCCCTGAACCCCTCAATTCCGCCGACACACCCACCACAACATGCTCTCCCCTCTCCTCTCACACCTCATCAAATCACCAGGCACGCCATGTACAACATGAGCATGGACGGATTTGCCTTGGAAACGGGTTGAACGGCTACTATCCGTGGCCTGGTCTTTGATATCTTCTCTTCAGGCAGATTCTTCCCCTGCGGTTACATAAATGAAAGGCCCCTGCTCATGTCAATCGGACAAGGCACATTTTTGAAAAGACGAAACCTAAATGTTGACAATAGCGCGCTTCAAATTTGGCTCGCGTTTCTTAAAATATTTACGGGTAATATATGAGTGGCGATTAACGATACTTAACATTGGCCATGCAACACAGAAAGCAACAGACAAGCACTAAGATGCATACCTCCGGGAGCCCCACCAAAAAATGATCGGACTCCTTCAAGAGTTCAGTGGGCAGTCGGGCATCGGCGTCGCCTACCAAAAAAAATGTGTTCTGCATTAGACGCATCTACTGGATTTTCGCCTTGTGTGCTCTCTTCTTTCATTTCGGGATAACTATTTTTGTAGGCAGGGTGTTGTGAGATGGATTTGATAAATCAAAGGTGGCTGTCAGTGAGCGTCGAGCACCTCTTGTCGAGGTACCAATGGGCTTACTTTGGCTACCGCAAATCTCAAATTCGATTTCTTCCTTGTACAGTTCGAGGCTCCGAAAGAATATCACCCCCTACGGGACAATTTGTCGGAAAACAGAAGCACGCCAATCTCGTCCATGCTATCCAGTATCGCAGCTTGATATGCCACGATCACAGATTCGCGAACCGGACGTAAGCACTCCCGCGTGGCTACGGACGATTGACAGAATCAAGAGGTATTAGTAAAAGTAATGGATACTCATCCTTAATAGCCTCGATTTGCCTGCCAACATAGATTTGCGCGTTTATATAGGGTCATAAAAGCCTAGATCATGTCTCTTGACACTATGTTATCCACAAAGCTGTCCACGACGGAGCGCAGCTTTTGGTAGTCTCTGTTTAGCATCTCTACCCGGATCTAGAGATCTAGTGGGAACAGAGGTTAATGCGCCGTTGCATAGATCGAGATCTATGTGCATTGGATGTATACGGGTCACTGAATGATTCCGAGGTTAGTCGCTAACCTCTTGCACTCATACTGAGGCTCAATGTGGAAAGTTGTCCCTATCCAATAGGATCCCATCACAAGTATGACGCGCTACTATCAGCGAGATACAGCATCCTTGAACTACCAGGATTCCGTAGGGATGAGGAAAGCTCCCCATCTCTTAAGTATCCACTTACTAAGCCAAACCTAAGAATGTCGGGTACCCAAACTGTCCGCTCGAAAAAATCGGATATAAGAGCTCAGGTGCAACCTTTCCCTAGTTGGTAAAATGCGGGGCGTACGTACAGTGGCGTTCATTAGCCACACAAACGTCGCAGATCACTGGTCCCTTCCTTGACTTCATTTGCTGACTCGTCCAAAGACATCAACCTCGGCGGTTCAACAAACCCCCCTCTCCCTCGCCTCGGGAACCTGTGTAAAACATAAGCTATACTCGGGAGAGGCACGCTTAGTTAGCGATGGATTTCCGGTTTTTGAACCTCAATCTTCTGTTCGTTGACTGCTGGGTTAGAACTGGAGGGGAAGTATAGAATTAGATACATTCGGCTGTAGACTGTTTGCTTTGCGTGTTAAAGAGGAAGCTCTTCTCTATTAGCGAGGAAGGAATAATGCCATGTAAGCATCCCCAATATGCCCCCTTCCTACCTTTGTAGTCAAACATACGCCACACGACTCCAGCTCCTTCTAACACAATCCCGCGCTCAGTCCCCATTCTCGCCGCCGGGGCCGCCGGCACCGCAGCCCTAGCCGCATACCTAAACGCCAAATACCACATCCTCTACGACCTCCAGAACGATCGAGGCGGGCTCTCCCCTAAGCAAGAGAGCCTTGACTGGATTGCTTCTCGTGCCGCCCAAAAGCGCGTTCTAACGTACCACATCTTCGAAGACCAAGCCCTAAGGAAGCAGCCAAACCACCCGTTTCTGATCTTTGAGGGTAAGACGTGGACGTATCGACAGTTCTTCGAATATGTTACGAAGGTCGGGAATTGGTTGATGAATGAGTTGGGAATAAAGGTTGGAGAAATTGTGGCAATAGATGGGGGGAACTGTGCCGAATATTTGATGTTGTGGTTTGCGTTGGATGCGATTGGTGCTGTTATTAGCTTTGTTAATTGGAATTTGACGGGTGCTGGCTTGGTGCATTGCGTGAAGGTATGTTGACTTTCTGCTAGATGTCGAAAAGGATCTGACGGGAAAAGCTTTGCGAGAGCAGATACCTCATCACTGACGCAGACGTCCGAAATAATGTCGAACCGTCCCGGTCGGAACTCGAAGATCTGGGGGTGAAGATCCATTATTATGATCCTTCTTTCTTCGCCTCGCTCAAAGACAATACTTTCATACCAGAGTACCGACGAGAAAACGTCACCATCGAATCTATCCGAGGGCTCATCTACACATCCGGTACCACTGGGCTTCCCAAGGGAGTGATAATGAGTACCGGCCGGGAGCTCCTTGTTGGCCAAATGACTGCCAATTACCTAGGTCTAAAACCCCAGGATCGTATTTACACGTGCATGCCTCTTTACCACGGTGCTGCTCACAGCCTTTGTACAACGCCCTCCATTCATGCGGGTTGTACAATTGTTCTTGGTCGAAAGTTCAGCCACAAGACGTTCTGGCCTGAAGTCGCGAAGTCACAAACGACGATAATCCAGTATGTTGGAGAGCTGTGTCGGTATTTGCTGAACGGACCCAAGAACCCGTATGAAAGAGCTCATTGCGTTAAAATGGCCTGGGGCAATGGTATGAGACCCGACGTGTGGGAGCCCTTCAGAGAGCGGTTTGGCATTCCGATAATCAATGAGCTGTATGCTGCTACGGACGGGTTAGGAGCGACATTCAATCGCAATGCCGGTCCATTTACCGCGAACACAATCGGCCTCCGCGGAGCCATCTGGAACCGGAAATATGGAAATCAAGAGGTCCGGGTGAGAATGGATGTCGATACTGAGGATATCATGAGAGACAAGAATGGGTTTGCTGTACGATGTGGAACTAATGAGCCGGGACAAGTGCTTCATAGGCTGACACCTGAGCTATTGGTCGGGGTCCCTGGATACTATAATAATGACCAGGCGACAGCGAACAGGAGAATTACCGATGTCTTTGAGAAGGGGGACATGTGAGTGCCATGGCCTGGGTTGTCTCCTCAACCGTAGTTTGGAGCTGACAAATGTGATAGGTGGTTTAAGTCCGGCGATATGATGCGACAGGACGAACACGGGCGTGTTTTCTTCGTCGACCGCCTCGGGGACACATTTCGCTGGAAATCCGAAAACGTGTCCACGAACGAAGTTGCCGACATGATTGGCAAATTCCCTCAAATCGCCGAGACAAACGTCTACGGTGTGTCCGTACCCGGATACGATGGACGCGCAGGAGCTGCTTGTATCGTCCTGGCAGACGGCGTGACGGAATCGACTTTCGACTTCCAAGCCCTCGCCACTCATGCAAGAGCCGTGCTTCCTGGATATGCCGTCCCGCTCTTCCTACGGCTGACTTCCGCATTAGAATATACTGGGACTCTTAAGATTCAAAAAGGGAGGCTGAAGCGAGAGGGCGTGGATCCAGATGCTGTGACGGGAGCAGACAAGATCTACTGGTTGCCACTAGCGTCAGATAGATATCTGCTCTTTGAACGGAAGGATTGGGGGGCGATAAAGAATAAGAGTGTGAGGCTGACTTGATGCTGTGAGCCTTGGATAGACAATAAATTGGAAATAGCCTCTTTAAACGTTGTGCCTTGCAAAAAGCTAGTTACAGTCAGAATTTCAACCAATAACTAGAAGCTCTGCGCATGGCTTGCACTGCCAAGCCCCTGGCACACACACATATAAAAAGAACGAACAAAAAACGGCAAAACTAGAAATTGAATTATAATTTAACCTAAAGAAGGTGTCACTAAAAACAAAGATACTAGAAAGAAACAATGCAGTTCACTGCAGAGAATCACTGAGTTGCATAAGTATATCCCTTGTTTTAGCATTGCAGTACCTTGTCACGACCAGGCTCCTGAAAGAAATTGACTGTAACCAGCTTTTTTTGCAAGGCACAATATTAGATGTGACTTGGTGTCGAGTTCGTAAATGACTATTGCTATCATAGTCCGACCGTTAAGATAAGTGGTGCTACAGGTTCAAGTTTCACAAAAGAATTTACATAGTTATATTAGAAGAAACGGTGAGGAGGTGGTGGCTGAGGTGGATGGATTTCATCAGCTGTATCATGAATAACGTTGTGGCTTGGAAGGCGCCCGGGTGGGATTGCTGACTAGGCGTGAGTAGTTAGCCCACGCACCCTTCACACGAGACTGCTTCTCATTTGTGATTGTGGACAAGTGATTGAAGTGTTTGTCTGGGTGCGGCAGGATATCCATTCCCACTCACTTCAGACCAAAATCCTCTCAGAGGTACAAATACAAATACAAATACAGATACTCAGTCTTAAGGAAAGAAAGAGTGAAGCACTTGGTCTCGTCTTACGCTCCGTTTCAATGAACATAGTGCCTACATACATACCTAAACCTGCTTCCGCAAAACTCCACCTTGGCCTTCTATATACATCCCCACCGAGCACACGCCTGCGTGCTTATACACGAAAGCCCGACTCGATCCGTCCCTAATACGACATCAAGACCTTAAGCTCCAAGCCCTCATCACCCACACAAACCCACCAATCTACCCAGATCACAAATACCCCTCAACAACCTTCTCGCAAACCGTCCACAGCTTCTCGGCCGCCCCATCGCCAGCTTCTGAGATGGGAGAAATTGCTTTCTGCAGCCCTGTGTTGTAGTTGCCGATGCGACCCCATGGAATGATGTAGCATCCATTTTTGGCTGGGGTTATGTCGGGGGACCAGCCTGGATTGCTTGTCAGGGGATGTAGTTGGGGGCTTTGGGAAGATTAAGGATAGGTTAAATGGTGAAGGGTGAGGCAGGCGAAGAAGGAGAGAAAAAAGGAATAGACTTACCAGCGTAAAGTTCAGTATAAGCACCGCATTTGACGGGGTAACAGATAGCCTTCGCAGCCATGAGTTCCATCCATCCCGCATGGCGAGTGAGTTCGGAGGCTAGGTGGCCGGGGTTGAAACTCTGATTGAATTAGCACCCGGTGTCTCCTAAATCTCATCTCATCTCATCTCATCTCATCGCTTCCCTTGCGGGGTGTGTGCTGTGTTGGTTTCCTGGAGATGATACGATAGAAACACTCACATTTGAAATAATTCCCTCCCCACCCCACCTTTTCGCGCCCTCAACCCCCAACATCACATTCGCAATCTTACTCTGGCCATATAAAACCTCTGTCCTGAAATCCCCCTTCACTCTCCTCACCCCTTCCCCTACACCCTCACCATCCCCATTCCCACCGTCAACAAAAACAACACCGCCCTTCGGCCCCATTATCTCAATCGCAAAACTTGCCGCCCACGTCACCCTCACAGTCCCCGTCTCTACGGTCTTCGCCGTACTCCGCAGCACTGGCAGCAACAACTTCGTAAACAAAAAAGGGCCATAAACATTTGTCGCCGTCTGCAGATCATATCCTTAGAGAGATATCGAGCCCGCAGGCGGAATCATAACGCCCGCATTATTAACCAGGACATCTAGGCGCTCCTCTTTCGCTAGGAAGGCAGAGGCTGATGCAGAGATGGTGCTCAGGTCCGCAAGGTCGAGGGACAGGAATTCGAGACGGCCGCGGGACGCTGGGAATGTAGATTGCAGGGATTTGATGGCAGTGGAGGCCTTGGAAGCAGAGCGACCGGCAATGTAAAGAGTGGCGTTTTTGGGGTAGAGGAGTTTGGCTAGTTCGAAGCCGATGCCCGTATAGCCGCCAGTTATGATGTAGACCTGGGGTTGAGAGTTAGGGAGTAGAGAAATATGAGCATAAGATATGTTTGAGAGTGCAATTGACTGGGTCTGACTGTTGAGAGGAGAAATAACAAAAGAAAATATCACCGAAAGGGTTAAAGAGAACATAAAAAGGTAAGCAACAAACCTTGCCAGTTAAATCCGGTAAATCGTTTTCCGTAAATGTAGGCTTCGGGATGAAATAAGTCTGGTCCCAGAACGCTGAGAGTGTCTGTCCCATCTTGCTTTCCTTTCGCTAACGCTAAGTTAGCGTTTCCATGGAGCCAAAGTGAGGGAGATCTGTTTAAGTGACAATATAAGAGTGAAGAGGAGAAGACAACGTTTCAACCATTAAAAATTGAAAAAACGAGCGAGAAGTACTTTCCAGCTTGCTGGCGTACCTTTCTAGTCGTACCGTGATGGGGCGTCCCTGCTGGAGATGGTCTGATAATGGAGATGAGTCTCAACGCCGAACCGTCAGCCGAGGCCAGAAGTCGGGTCCGAATTGGCGTAGTCGGAGATCGTCAAAGTGCAAGTAGCACTCATACGCGTGTAAGTGTTAATGCAAGAGTATCTCGCGGATGGCAAAGAAAGCCGCTGTTACACATCATTAACCCCCAAGGATATTCGGACGAAGTGCGGGGCCAACATTGAGGGCGAATTAACCCTATTTGGTCAATAAGCTGGTCTGTGCTTAGTATGAACTCTCCAAGTCACTGCCGAAGATAACAAAATTTCCCAAGAAGGATGTAGATCCAATTCTGTTTGGACCTATTTCATGAGTAATGAAACGCAATATGTAATAGGAAAAGAGAACCAACGCTGCTTATGCATCATCATCCAAGGCTTCATTTTATCATTACATCCGGGAAGAGAACTTGCAATATCTCATCTAAAAGGGTGAAGGCGAGGTGAGTACTGCACGGATGTTAGTTCTGGCGCGTTACACAAAAAAATACGTATGACATACTTAAGCCTTTTGTTGTTTACCGTTGCGAGAAGTCTCCTGCTCGCAGCCTGTGCATTACTTCTCCCAACTACACTAGCCGCTAGTTCGGGCACTAGAGTTGCCAACACGACACCAGCTTCGTTCATGCTCTTCGCTCTTTCCGCCGCCGTTCGCTCTACAGGAGGTTTCAGGTGGCCGCCTGGCCACATGGTGTCTTTCAGTGTGTCGATATATTGAGCGATCTTGTCCTCAGACAGGAACGACTTTGCATTTTCGCGGACTTTGCGTTCAATCGTGCCACCGAGAAGTTGGTGCAATACTACGACAACAGCGCGTCCGCGGAGCCAGTTATTCTCACGGTTCAGCTCGAAAGTCTCCAGAAATAAATCACAGATTGGCTTCACGAACGGCTCTAGTTCTTTATTTTCAAACGCGAGGAGCTCGGCTTCGGCCTCAGCGTCTGTGCCTGGGTCCATACCTAATACAGTGGAGGTGGGAAGAACAGGAGGAGCTGTTGTGCCGTTAGATGCGAGCTGGTTTGTTGCTGCCGATATTATGTTTTGGCCAGCGACAGAAAGCTGATCAAGCACGGGTATGTTGCCGAGAAACTCTTCCATGCCGTCAGCGACGGAATTGTAGATCCTGGTGACGAAGTCGCGGCCATGGGCTGCTTGCGAGGAATCTGGATCAATGGGCGAGATAGCTTGCTGAGATAGGAACGCGCGGAGTTCGCGGCTGCGGCACACTGCAGGTATAAGGAGGAGTTCCTGTAACAACCCCGCGGAGTTAGCACAACACTCCCATGGTGGCTGACAGCCACAGTGACATACCCTAAGATACTTTTCCAATCCTAGCCGCCGCTTATGCAAAAAATCCTTTTGAAGCTTGAGCACCATCTGGCGCCTCGGGAACTCCAAATTCCGAGTTTGTGGAAACTTTGCGCGAAGGCGCTTATGGAGTTCATGGAATTCGCTATATCTCCGCGTAATAACCCATGCAGCCGCAGGCATCTGATCGCCCGCGCGTCTGCGAACCTCGATCACATCTGAGCGATAGAGTCAGTACCCTGGTCCGTGGAGAAAGCTTAATTGACTTACACATGGCGAACTCCTTCCCATCTTCTTCGTTACCGACCATGATGGACTGAATGAAGACTGTGGCGCGACCATACAAGCTATTGTCGCTTTCTTGGACAATGTACTGCTGTCGCTGCAATTCCTTCCTCTGGATTTCTCGTTGTAAGCTGGCTTTGGACTTGCGCAAAATCCTGAGTTCGGCGGCATTGTTCGTTAGTTCGGCCTTCGAGGTCAGGGAATTCACAATTGACTCCTGCGTGACTAGACGTTCAATCTCTGCTGTGAGTGCGTCGATAGCCTCTGCTAAGCCAAGATCCCCAGGTGCTGCTTCGTGGATTTCTTCCTCCCCGCCCTTGTCGTTATTGTTCGTGTCCTCAATCTCGTCTTCAAGAAATTTCTCTTCATCGTCGCCGAAGAGATCATCGTTAAAAACACCGCGGGTTCTAGGCTCACCTACAAGTCCAAGAGACGCTATGCTAGGCTTCTCTTTGTCTTTCTTTTGCGTTGTGAATGGCATCGGCGAGTTGGCTCGAGGTAACTCTAAGGACCCTCTCATCGAGTCGTTGTCTTGAGGTGAATTCAAATTTGGGTCGTTGAACAAGGAACCTTCTGGCTCATCACCCATGATGTCGTTTAATGCTGCTTGCATCGCGTCAACAACTCTCGAGTTATTACCGTTCGGTCGAGCCGTCTCGGGGTCAGAATCCAGGCTTGCGGTTGAGTGTGCCAAGAGGTCGCTATCATAGTCATCATCGAAGAGAGGTGCGCGCGCAGGGGTATTGCCGTCCAAAGATCGCCGAGGTGTTGGGTCAGCATCCTTAATCTTGATTTGACTTTTAATATCAGTAGACGACGCTACTGCTCTCCGCAGGTCAGGGGCCTGGAGTGAAGGATGCTTAGTTGCGGATGCGGCCCGAATTATTTTTCCAGGCACAGCGGCAGGGGGGTCATCTAAAGTTTGTGCCACGACTCTGATCTTAGCAGGGTTTGGGGCACTCGCAGCTTCATCCATGGCCAACCATTTGTAATATAGGTCAGACTTCTTGAATATTCGGAAATGAGGCTCCTGCAGCTCATCGTACGCTGCAGTCTGAGCCTGAAGAAGGGCACGGCGAGCATTGTAGTAATGTTGAGGCGTCGCGGCTCGGCCTGCTTTAAGAAATGCATTGACTGCTTGACTTGCTTCCGGGAGGATTTTGAGTTCGGGCTTCGAGAGATATGCTTCATTGATTTGAGCAAGATCTGCTCGATCAGAGTCTTTCCAGGCCGCTAATGAGCCGACGTGTTCGGCGGGTTCATCGGTATCCTGCTCTAGTGGGTTTCGAAAGCTGTCAACAACGATCCAGAATTGGACCAGGCGCATGAGGTTTAGACGATCCATGTACTCCATAAAGCATGAAAGCCCCGAAGCGTCGTACAGCACTTCTCGCAACGAAGCAGTTTCGAATTTTGATGATGTTCGTTTATGCTTTGGCTTTTCTTGAGTAGCTACTTTCGCTCGGACTGATCCACCAGCACTCAAGTTTGCAACTTTTTGATCCAAGATTCGCCTTGCAGTCTCAAGGCGACGAAGGTAAATGGGGTCTTGCCCTTCCGCAGCAGAATCCTTCCGCAATTGGCTAGATATCTCGGTTCGGAAGCGCCGAGCATCTGCCAAAGTGTTGGCCTGCCGGATAGCTCTGATGAATCGTTCAAACTTGCGCTCACTGTCGTATGGGGACAGCTTTGGGAACTGGACATTCTTGGGCGGCTTTGGTGATGCGGGGGTCTGTTCATCAAGAGCGGCACGCAGTTTGCGGACAGTCTTTCGTTCTTGTAACAGTGTTCGTCCCTTCGTAGAGTCAGTACTCGGCTTACTTCGACGGTGGATTTCCTTACGTATCCCTCCATTAGCTGGTTCCAGGTGTCCGGGTCCGCCAGCACCTGCATCACGGGAGCCAAGACTGCGCATGCCACGAGTTCCTTGATCAGAACATTAACAGCAGGACTAGTAGTCATATTTCTGGGCATGACTTTTGGTAACAGTCCAGCAACGATGCTTCGAAGATGCTGTTGCTGAATGAGGTTGGTGTTCGAATATGCAAGAGAGGCCGCGGGATGCAGATGGCCATCTTTGTACTTGGCTGCAATTGCCATATCAAGCTCGTCTGATTCTGTGACATTGCGTGACAGTTTCCGGCCACGCACAGCACGCTCCGCTTCGTAGGCAGCCTTCAGGTGGTCAGTGATCAAGGGCATCATCCTCGACACGACTGTTTCCACCATGTCCACCGCGAGGATCCGGTCGCTGATGTCGCCCAACGCAGCTCTGACGGCACGATCGACCTCGTTCACAAATGTCGGGCTCTTGCTTATATTGCCGTACCATGTTTTGACAAAGTCGCGGAGTATCAGGCCGATCAGCACGTCGATGCTGTCGGACACGACGAAGGATGAGGGGTACACGGGCTCCATCATATACATACGGCGCTTAGTGAGGGCCTCCCTCTCAGCCCTCCACTGCGCTGGGGCGAGGAAGGCGACGTGCCTTGGGCCGTATACATCAGCGTCGGCATCCTGACGCTCGATGCTCCAGGCGGTGGTGAGCGTGAGCCATGCTTGCAGGGCGAGGACGGCGACCACACCGACGATGAAGGCATATGGTAGGTACCGTAGGCCCGGCAGCCAGTGGGTGACAAACCCCCAGGCGACAAAGACAGTAACGGCGGCGAGAATCACATCTCTACGCTTCAGGGCCATAGTCGTGCGGGCAACGCCCGATCCGGCATCTTGGTTTGATGTTTGAAATGGGCTTGCTGGAGACGACCACGACCCGCAGCGAGTCTGTCCACACTTTTCGTGCACGGGCCGCTGTCACTGGGAGTGCCGAATTCTGGCCGAACTCGTGCACGCGTCCAGAGAGCTCGTTCCCTCCACCATCCCAGCGTCCGCTCCTCCTTGTGAACTCCATCCCTAAATCTCCCGCCATTCCCTTCACGATCGGCACTGCGTCTCTAGTGTGGGGTGTTCCAACATGAATCCCCCAAGATCGTACGAGCCCGTAGTCTCTGGACCACCCTGCCACACCTACTAAACGCGCCAATCTGCCCCTTCAATGCGGCCCGCACTTCCTTTTTGATACGACCCTCTTCTCCGGGTCATCTTCTTTAGTTCTCTCCGGCCTCAACTACGGCCTGCGATATTCGCCACGCTGCATCAGGCCGAGGCAAGCTCAAGAAGTCTTCTGGAAAAGATGCATGGATGAGCATCCTCTATTGCCTCGTCCGTCCCTCTGCCCTTTGATTCGTTCTATTCTTTATGGCATGATTGAGCCAATCCTTCCGCGCTCTGAATGGCTGGCGAGTGTCTCAAGGCCTGTTAGTTGTAGAGACTATCTCTAGCAGACAAGACATGCCCTCCTCGAAGAGAGAAGCGTCAGGAGAGAAGAGGCTGGCACCCGTCCCGCCCAATTGCTTCGCAAATTGAGCGTTGCAGTGGTTCTTCAGCTATGATACACCTTTTAGAATCTAGCCTTCTCTCCAAGCACCGTCTAGCCCTATATGCAGCGCCAAGTCATTGCCCCTCGAAAATGTCACCAAAGTGGTTTTTCAGCAGTGATAGACCTCTCAGGACTTAGCCGCGATCTGCAAGCAGTGTCGATATTGGAAAATTGTCCGACTGGATACCTCAATTCCCGTTCTACAATATTTTCTTTTTTTCAAAGGATCAGCTGCTCTCGTGTTATCCTGAATCTCTCCTCAGTGAGGCATCTCCATCACCTGAGGAACCTTGACTGAACATCACCGTTAAATCGAAGAACGATGCACGAGGCTTGATCAAGATGCTTGGCACTAACCAGAGCCAGGGCCCCCACAGACTCGTGTTCTCAAAGAAGCTCAGGTCTCAGAAGTCCTGGAAATGTCCGGGACATCAGCGAGGCAATCACATTGGCCAGGCTGTTGACGAGATGCTTTTTCTCGAGCATCCTGCCCCAGCTTTCTCCACCACAATTGACCATTTCCGGTCACCTGCGGAGGCGCTCCAGACTATTGTTCCTGCATGCTTCTCAGTCTCCATCAGCCACCAGCCACTAGCCTCTCTGAAGCACTTGCAGACGAGTGTGGCGTAACGCATCGCATCGCATCGCATACGAAATATTCCGGGAGTGGGAGACAAGCTCGTGCATTCCAGATGCTCTCCTATTCAAAAAAAAGGACAGTTGGGGCTCGTGGAGACATGTTCTTTAGTTCTATGAGAACGCCGTGCGCCACAAGTATCGAAGCCGTGCCGCCCCGAACGGAAGCTCAAACATGACTCCGCGCTCCTTCCTTCAGGGCAAGAATCATCCCACCCATCCTCGGTTAGGGATCGTGGGAGGCACCGGAAGTCTAATTTTGACAGCTCTCCATCCTCGTCCAAGAAGGTGTGGCGTTGCGCTTGAATCGAGCTTGTTGATCCAACAGCTCGGAATACGTGCAGTGTGCATGCGCAATTCGCAGAATAAGGTATCACCAGTGACTGGACTGTTTGTGGGTACCCAATAGTCTTCCCGAATCCCCTGGTCCCTTTTCGGGCTGGCAGTTTCGAGATTATGAAGTTGGGGGGATGCAGGGTTCACTATTTTTTTGCTTTTCCGGCCGAGCAACGCTCAAGATAAGGCTCTTGGGAGCAACGGTCTCTGTGCGATATCGAGACGGTTTATGAAATTCCTTCTTGCATCCCCATTCCCGATCGGGTGGTGTCGATAACATCGTCTCCGTATAATATGAAGCAAGAGACGTTTATGAAACGGCACATTGAAGACGGCATGTTCGATTTCTTGATACCTTTCACATTCATTTTCTGAAATTCTTTACTACAACATGGCCGATATAGAGTTAGACATCCTTGACAAGGCAGTGCTCTCAGCACCAGCTCATGCCCATGAGATTAGGGTTCTCAACACGGTCATAGCTGTGGTCTCGGTGTTGAGCATCATTGGAGCAGGATGGATTGTCATGAGTTTCTGCGTACGTGAAGCCACTGCGTTCGATCCTCAGCACGAAAACCTCTTTGCTAACTGTTTGTTTAGTTGTTCAAACAAGTCCGAACGTTTCGCCACCAACTCATCCTCGGACTAGCGATTTCGGATTTCTTGATGGCGGTCAACTTTCTGTCATCTTGCGCAGTCAACCTCTCTGGTCACATTCTCTCAGATCCGCGACAGAAGACATTTTGTAGTTTTAATGGCTTCATGACTCAGTTCTTCGTGGTCCAAAGTAAGTTCTAATGTCCCTGATCAATTATCGATCGACATGAGCTTACCCGCGTGATAGCAGACTACTGGGTGCTCGTCATTGCCGTTTCTACCTTTCTCATCTTAGCAAACTACAAGCTTCAGTCGACGTGGATCCAAGAGCATCGTATCGTACTATGGTGCTTGCCTTGGGGATTTTCCGCACTCTGGGCAACCCTAGGACTTGTAATTGGAGGATATGGAGATATCGGTGCTTGTCCGTTCACCTTTCTCAAACCTCCACTCCGTATCGTTATCATCTTCTTTGGCTGACTGGTATTCAGGGTGCTGGTTCACTAGCGATCGTGTTCGCCTCCTAGTCAACTTTATCCCACGTTGGTTCATCATCCTCATCATCCTCGGCCTTTATGTCCATCTCTACCGCCTCATCTACAAGGCCCACAATCGATTTATGAGTTTCAACGACGAAGCTTCGCCACACTCCCTTTCGCCAGAAACAGAGTCCGTGTCCTCCACGCGTCGAATTGGCCGGCCTTCTGTATCCATGAATATGGGAAGCAAAGACATGGATATTGAACGCAGCGGTGGGTCGTCCACCCCGGCTCCAGGACGAACGCACGTCCGAAAGCCCTCTCCAGTCCTCAAGAAGATGGCATATCAGATGATGTCGTATCCTCTGGTGTATATGATTATATGGACAATTCCTACCACGATTCGTATATACCAATCTTCTACTGGCAAAGCGGCTCCGTTCGGAATAGCGACAGTAGATAAAGTAAGGATTACTCGTACATTTCTTCCACAACGTACCTGACTTATTAATTAGGCCTGCATCGTAGTCCAAGGCTTCGCCGATGCCATCATTTACGGATTGAACGAAACATCACTAGGCGCCTGGCGCGACCGATTCCAAAAGATGCCGCCCACAGCTCCAGCGCCTCCTCAACAGCGACATTTTGCTGTCAACGTGCAACACGATATTGTTGTGGAGCGCAGTTCGCGCATGTCTCCTACTGGATAGACATTCGCTCTATCTTTTTTTTTATGTTTTGCATCTATACTGGGCGGTCATTTACTCCAAAATTTTGAAGCTTGGTTCGAGAAACCCGAGTATCATCGCGTTTAAGTTTGCTCAGCTATGAAATCCGTCCCCACTAAACAAGCTTTTCCTCGTTCGTTTATCTTTAGCAAGTAAGCAAACAATGCATTGCCTTGAATCTGTGTTTCGGTTTTCAAATTGGTACGTCCGTGTTAATGCGCTCTGCGTTGAGGGAATGATGTTCATCGCTGGGAGAGCAGAGGAACGGTCTCAGGAAATTCCGTCTAGTATAAACCACTACTACCTGACAACCGATCTCGGGCTACTACAATAATATACACCCACACAGTCGAATACCTCCCCAAAAACTTTCGTTTTACGCTTTCCCAGGCACGCATATAATCCATGATTCTGCCACATCCAACATTCTCCTTTCCCTCAGTACGCAATTTTGAGCAGTGCTTTTTAATGACTCTGGATCCCACGAAGCTCTTTACGGGTAAGCTGACTAATTCTGCGATCTTCATCGCCGTCGTTGATGTTTTCGCTGCCGAGAGAGTCAGTAGTTCAGGCGTTGGGAGGCAGGCTGAAGAGGTACATAATTGCCCTCCCTCTGCCGAGTTGCTCAACACCCATCACACTGTACGACACCACAATTGCCCTTGCACTTGCGCTTGTTCTTCCGGACAACCAGTCAGCTACAAGCGTTATCGAGCAGTGAACCATCATACATCCATAAGTATCCGCCGACATCGAACTCTCCGGCTCTCTATATCCATGAGATGGAGAGCCAATGGGGTAAATAGGTCGACTGCACCGGAATACCTTTTACTACAACCGGAACTGGCGACACCTGCTGTGATAGTTAGACCTGTTATCAGATTGAAGGGCTGGGATGTTGGTGTGCATGCGAGGGATTAGCATACATGGATTCACAATTAGGATAAATATCTGGGTTGCGATGGGCGGGCGATGGAAGTTGATATCTACGTCGAGTCAGACTGGATTCTGAATCAGGTAACGTCATGATGACGACGGAAAGATAGGGGTTAACTCTAGGAGTAAGGCACGCTTTAGATAGTCAGATCTACATATGAGCATAGACACAGATAAATAAGTTAAACTGGAATTCAAGACTGTCTTATTTTCTGCCTTTGCACATCCTTCTACGCCCTCTTCCCTCACCCACTCCCACCCCCTTCACTCTATTAGCAGGCCGCACAACACCCTATCCCGCCCTTACCTCTATCTCCCCTTTGACCATACACATCTTACTTACCGCCGTATTTCGAATAGAAAAGAGGGGAAGCGCAACGTACCGGACGGGGCGTTGAAAGACGAGCTTAATCGTACATTCTAATACCTTCTCTTCTATGAACGATTATGAGGTAGTAAGAATACATTTCTATGGCGGTTGTTACTGAAAGACTCATTCGCCTTCAGCTAATAAGAATTGCTTAGCTGACGGACTAAAAAGCAAAGCTAAAGTGGAAAGGAAACTAAAAAATTACGACTAAGGTGCATCCCTGCGTAGCGAGACACCCTATGTGGCGAGACAAATGAGGGGTACTTTGACTTTTAGCAACTAGAAAACGCATCCGCACAACAAATATTGCTATAATTTAATAAAAATAATCTGCTGTAGCTAATACTAAATGTCTATAATCTACTCTTTCCTGAATATTACTGTCGCATTGTCGCCTCTGAGCCTAATTTATACAGCACCTTCTTTTATATTATAACAGTCCTCCCTCCCTATGGCGCTAATGTTAGGTTTTTATCGCTCTGAATTTTCGTAGAATACTCCTATCTAAGCCTTAGAACCTCCCTCTACTGCTTAGAAGTTATTATTAGCCTGGAGTGCGCTGTCGCGGGCAAATTCATGCTGAGCTGCCATGTCAATTGGTACTTCCAGCGGAAGCGAACCACTAATTCTGGCTAATGCGAGATGACTCCGCGGGTAATTTACTATAAGATCTATGGCTGTGCAGATCGTGCAAGCGCTCGGAATATTAGTAAACCCGACTTAGGATTGGGAGCAGCGCAGTGAGGGCTGGCGCTCGTTTAGTCAGCCAACACATGTCAGTCTCACAACTTGGCATCCGCCCCTCAGCCTTAGCCATGCCTCCCGTCAACCAACTCAATTCTCTGAGAACACATATAGAATTCGCCACCCCGCAAGGTCAAGGCCGGTGCGGGTCGGCCGTCCTCCCTGCTAGCGGTGGCAAGAACCCGTACCGCCAAAGTACCTGTTACAGCGGCATCTTGCTTACAAATAAGCTTCTGGATCATACAGCGACATGTCGGCAATAGGGTAGCTAAATGTACTGTATGCTCGAATTACGTTGTGTTGTAAAAGCACGTTGTCGTCAGCAGCCTAAGCAATCATCTGCTCGGGGTCTGCTAAAGAAGCCGCCCACCGTCGACGAAGACATATTCGCCCTTGGTTCAACCATATATTATCTTGTCACGGGACAAGTACCATATGAAGAGCTTGCCAACGATGTCGTCGAAAAAATTATATGGCTGTAGAGTTCGCTGATTTAACGGACGCGCTCTGTCGAGAAGTCATCCGGGCCCGCCGGGAGGAACGAGCTGCGTCGGCTTGGGCTGTCCGTCAATTCGTGAGCGGCTTATCACAAAGTCTTGAAACTCCGGAAATTAGTACGGCAGAAAAGAGGATGAATGGAAAGATTTCACACTCATTTAGAAGTGCTCGAACTTAGTGGCATAAGCCAGAATTGTTCAACTTCCGCCCTAATCATCGAGATGAATGGTACTCCCAGCCTTAGTTGTCGAACGTCATGGGTAAATCTTCGATTACAATGGATACTGTAACGTAAACATGTTAAATTTTCATGGATAGGGGGCAGAATGTAGCCTATGATCATCGCTAATTGTGGCTTAAGTGTAGACAAGACCCAGAAGTAGCTAAAAGCTTAAACTGCTAGTGCTAAGCTCAATACACTTCTTTAATTCTATAAGAGTTAGTGCGTTTATTTTAGCATATTCATTATAACTTGATAACAGAAATCATGCTTAATAGAAAATTATGCTTGGTAAGAGATGATGAAGTATGGGAACCTTCTTAATTGAATATAGCAAGAATTTCAGATAACAATAATCCATCTTCCCGACCGGTCCGCTGCTGCTTGGACGGCGCAATCCTCGCAGCAAAGGCTTCCACGAATCATCAGCTTCCTGTCATGTGTCCGACGTCCTGCAGCAAGCACGGCTAACCATCGTGATCTTTGGTCGTTTTTGACAAGTATTACTACCAGACGTTCAGGAAACATCGCTTTGTGATCCTCAAATGTATCATCACCCCACGTCCAATTGCCCGCTGAAGTGGCCACACCCATGCCGAGAACCGCTTCGTCTTTTCGTTTTTTCGCGCTTTGCCCCTCATCAATTCTATTATTGCATTCGCGTTCACACTGTGAGGCTAGATAAGCGTCCCATAAGGTTTCATGTAAGAAGCGGTACCCGAGAACGCGCTGGAACGGCAGGGGGTTTCCATGTTGGTCTAAGTGCTCCGAATGAATGCCTGTGGCTTTCACCAATACGTGGAAACCGTCTAAACGGGATCCAACATACTCTTTCCAGCTTTGTACTGGAGAGATGCACCTTGGTTGGTAGGATTTCGTTCCACGATCCGAAACAGAGTTAAACCTCGGGGTCGGGAGTGGTCTTAGGTCCATGACGGCACCATCTAGAACCCGGGGCTTACGCTCCAGAGTTTTGGACCTCGTTGGTACCCCCTTGAATATGAATACGCTCTCCGGATCCACCATAGCCGGATCTGATTCACCATAAACAGGAAGACTGACCGTCCACCCAAAGTCGCTTATCATGAATACACCACGATCCCGCGCGCGAAGGTCGAGGCTTTTCGAGCCTAAAAGTAGACCGCTGAGGTGACCGTAGATGTCAAGATGCTCCAGATCAATGGTGTCGCAATCTCGGGAGATTTTATCGGTAAAATTGCGAATTTTGTGTCTTGGACCTCCATATGCCAACTTTAACTCAATACAGGTATCCAGGTTCGGTACTCGAGCCAGACACACAAGAGTAGTGGCTAGCGTAACCAAACTGTCCATAGTAGCAGAATCTTTGGCGCTAGATAAGTGTAGGGTTTTCAATCGTTTCTCTAGTGCCAGTGGGAGGGCAAAGTTCAACCAGTACGTATCCTGCTGCATCATTTCACAGAATTTCTCTACGCTCTCCTTGAGAAAGCGGACCCTATCCTTGCGATCTATGGAGTAAGGGCTCCCGAATAAAATGCTAGCCGCGTCAAAGATCTGGGAATTGATAGGGATGGTAGATTGAGGTCGAGTTACCCGGTGCTCATATGGATCCCGTACTCGCACAAGTCGATGGGAGATTTGACCGGCCAGGGCGACTACGAACTCGGTCGCTTCAACTAAGAACGCATTATCAGGCCCGTGAATGAAGGTGTCGACCGGCTCATTTAGGAGTCTACATAGTGTGATGGTTCCGTATCCCCTAAGTTGGAGACGTTCCAGGACTTCGACTTTTCTGTTGCTGAGAAGTTCAGGGTCCGGCGATAGTATCAGTTCACGTTCTTTTGAATAAAGGCATACCGTGGACTCCTCGCCAAGATACTCTGCGTCGTTGAGCCTGACAGTAACGACCGGATTGGGGTTCTCTTTGTTTTCGAAAATCACTTCGTCTTGAGATTTTATATTCTTGATAAGGATACTTAATCCAAGGATGTAGTGGGTCCAGATTATCAGAGCCAAGATGCCCTCTGGTCCGTCAACCTCCATGTACCGCTCTTCGGGCATCCTTTGGACAACGTAGAGAAAATCGAGGCAGTGGAAGAGGATATTGGCCGGCAACCCAAGCAAGTCGCTGTGAGGCTTTCGGATACCCCCAAGAACTCTTCCGAGCCTGGAACTAGCCTGTGTGACATATCCGGACCATCTAAAATCGGAAGTCTCCGAACTGCACGCTTCTAGGGTACGGTATATGCCGTCGACCCCGGGGCTTTCCATTTTGGACAACTTTGCATCGAATCTTTCTGTGAAGCAGTCGCTAAGCGTTGTCGCTAGAGAGCTCCTCTCATGGATCCATCCTAGAAACGAGAGCTGGATGACTGACGAGAACAGTTCGCGATACATCGGATTCTGCTTCCATGTGAGCGTGTGGCCCGCGCCTGTAGAAAGCTCAAGGTTGTCGTGTTCGTTGCCACGATGGATTCTCGTTATCGTAAAAGGCTTTACCACGGCTTCCTGGAAACTTTCCTCGAGAGCCGGTTCGATTCTGCCTCGTCCGAATACTGTAGCTAGGTCCATTTCAACGGTCACGTCTGAACCCGCCTTTCGGACGCTCTTAGCCCAAGAAACCACATCGGAGAGGGCGTTTGTAGCTGCTCCCGTAACCAGTGGCTCGAACAGCCTGGTCAGTTCGACAGAAAGCTGCCAGGGAACCATCACGATTAGATAAGGACCGAGAACGTTCTTCGAGAGCAGTGCTCGACCCTAACAAGAGCAAACAAATGTTATCGTTGAAGCGAGAAGACCGGATCAATTAACAGAGATGAGTAGATCGATTACTTGTATAAACTGATTTTAGATCTGGTTCACGAAAGGCTGATCGGGAAACAGGCTGCAACAGATCCACAGCAAGGCTGAGATGAAGAGTGAGGTGTCGTGCGATGATTGGTGTCCGCCCGCATTGTGGACTGATATATCGGTGAAGCCGCAGTGATAATGCAAGGCTGATTCCTGGTTAAGAGTCGAGGAGCAGGTCTCACGGCAACGATGCCAAAGCCAAAACAGATCTTTTGCTCGGTTTTGTAGCAAAGGGTCACGTGACGCAGCTCCTTCGGGCAGTGGTGTCGCTCGTTCGAACTTAGCTATATCGGCATATTTCGCCGCCTAATGCACCAATGTTAGGAGCACAATGCCTTAAAGGCTGTTATGCGATTATATAAGTCTAGAAACTTCGCAGGCGGCTAGCAACCGGCGGGGCGATCCCGAGCACGCGGCGCAGGCGCCAGGCTCCTTTTGCGGAAATTTCAGAGATACACCCCCCTCCCATGAGCGGACTGCTAGCTCCGCTTAAGAATGTTGCAACTAGCGAATCAGAGTAAGAGTTGAGAGGTGGATATACACGCTGGTTCGTTGTATGAGCCACATGGCCGTGCGACGCTAGCAGTCCGCTCATGGGAGGGGGGTGTATGTTCTAGAAGCTTATTTGTAAGCACGATACGACTGTAACAGGTACTTCGGCGGTACACGAATCTTGCCACCACTAGCAAGGAGGACGGCCGAACCGCGCTGGCACTGACCTTGTGCGAGAGGCGTTGAGAGCTTTTTTGAGAAAGATGATATTTGAGGGTTGCTCTATGCACGTGCTGTGGCGCCCGGATTTAGTTCCCGCGCCCTAGACCGTTGCCGTTTCTGAGCCGGGTTGCTGAGTCACTCTCTTTGGCATTGCTCCCAATCCTGTGGCGGATTTACAGATATTCCGAGCGCTTGTGCGATCTGCACAGCCACAGATCCTTTGGTAAATTACCCCCAAACGATGAGATGTGACGTGCACGGTCAAATTGCATTAGCTAGGGTTAGAGTCTCGCTTCCGCTAGAAGTACCAACCGGCATGGCGACGCTGCATGAATTTGCCTGCAATAGCGCGTGCAAGGCTAATAATGACTTCTGAGCATTAGAGGGAGGTTCAGAGGCTCAGACAAGGCTATTTTGCAAAATTTAGAACAATAAAGACTAATGGTTGACGCTGTGGGGAGAGCAATCTGTTATGCCACGAAAGAAGGCGCTGTACAAATTAAGCTCAGAGACAACGATGCGAACGTAATTTTTTATAGGAATGCATTGTAGACACTTAAAATTAGCTACAGCGTATTATCTTCATAAATCTATAGCAATATTCGTTGTGCGCAGAGGTTCTCCAATTGCTAAAAGTCAAAGTACCCCTCATTTGTCTCGCCACACAGGGTGTCTCGCTACGCAGGGAGGCACCTTACCCTTGAATTGATATTTCTGCCTGCTCTATTAAGCTTTCCTGGCATCTCATCTTACCAGTCAATCAACAACGGAATCAGCCCAAGACGTATATAGCTGCCATCGTATTCCGCGTACGCAACATCAAACCACGCGCTAGCTTAGATCTAAACATTAAAAGTCCATCCCAGCCATCAGTAAGACGTAAGGTTTCCCAAATAAGGTTCTATTAAAGTGTACTACCCAAATTAGGCCTCCCCATATGGTGTTAAAAATTAATGTAAATCAATCCACAACACATACATTTATTCTCCTTCCCTTTTCCTCCAGCAAGGCAGGGGAAAAGAACAGAGGAGAAAATGAGTTTATGTATTGCAATGAGATACACATGTAAAAATGGTACGTGTGCATATTCAGGGCTTCCAACGGGCCGTACTACGGTCCGTACAAAGTGAACCGTAACGGTCACGTGTTCAGTACGAACGTACCGAGTTCGTGAGCCGTACCGTACAATTAATGATGCCCTAGGTACGGTACGTAGTACAGATCGTATTACCCTTTTAGGAAGTTTGTATAGGGGTTCTGGAGGGGTAGGAGGGCTCTGGCGAGCAGGAGGCCTGCGGGCGCTTAAATCTCTTTCTAAGGGGTTTAATCTATCCATCTGCAGTCTGTCGTCTCAAAAATGCCTATTACAGACCATTTTCTATTGCAGAGTTATCTATCCACGCCTCTTGCCGCCTTACAGGCCTCATCTAGTCCTATCTGCTCTTGTTACTAGGGAGAACTAGTTATTTTATAGTTAATTAGACCTTAATCTTGCGTCTCTAGAGACCTATAGTCTTAGCTGTTTTAACTAGAGTACGGCGTACTTTAATCAAATCATACTACTCGTACAGATCACGTGAGCCGTAACAGTTACGATACGTACACCTACCTCTCCTCCTCCCTGTCGTACGAACGTACACAAAATCTCACCCGTACAGGCCTCAAAATCGCCCAATCGTACAGTACTACGCCTCGTTGGAAGCCCTGTGCATATTGTACTTTTGCAAGATGAAGATTAAGAACGCCCCCACGGTCTTTTGAAAGACTCTTCCTCCTATTCTACCAGAGAATAAGATGCTCAAAGACCAGGAATGTTGTTAGCTTAGATTAGGATGTGACACCGTTTACAGATGAGCACGCTGAGCACGATGGGCGAAATAGCGCTTGGTAATCCGGCCATTCTGACACCTGGTACCGGCGGCGATAGGCTGGAAGACAACTTTGCCGTGGTTGCAGAGTCCGAATTGGTCCTCGCCGTTGCAGACGAGGGCGCCGTCGGTGCTGCAAGTGCTACCTCCACCGGGAGTAGCGGGAGGGGCTGATGGAACAACTGGCGGAGCAGCTGATGGGGTAACAGATGAGGCACCACTGGTGGGGGCAGTAACTGTGACGAGGGTGTGAACGGTAGAGGCGATGTTCGGAGGGGCTGAAATCGGGGCACTGCTTGGAGTGGGGGCTTGAGATGGGATTACAGGAGCCGAAGGAACACTGAGTGCTTGAGAAGCCGGTGTCTGAGAAGCCTGAGTTTGAGTATGCTGTCCATTGTTTGGAGTCTGGGTAGCTCTCGAAGTTGGGGCAGCAGTTGAAGGCATGCCTACAGGCAGCTGACCTGCGGCACCACCTGGACAAAGCGCTTCGAAAGGACCGGAACCAATCTTAGTTTTATACTCTCCAGGGTTTTCGAAAATGTAGTCGAAATTTTCGTGGTTCTTACAGGTGTTCAGAGCTACGAGGTTTACGAACACGACATCAGGGAGCTGGTTGAAATCGTCCTGCCCTTCGCTACCACCACTAACAGTGATAGGAGCGCAGTTCATATAGATTTCTCGATTACCGCTATGATTCCACCATAGCCACGCAAACGTTGCTTGGCCATTGGGGAGTTCCTTGGGGACGGTGAATGGAAAGGTGGTGGCTGCGCCACCAACTCCAGGGCAACCACCCTCGATGGAGTAGATGACTTTCCACTTGGAAGACTTCGTAGGCTCCCTGTCAAGTGAGACAGCAAGCTGACAAGAGCCACCACTGTGAACCGCGGTTCCAGAAAATGAAAGAGTCTGCTGAGAACCGACCGCCAGATAGTTCATTTTCTGGATGACGTATGGATCGCCATCACGCTGTTTGCATGGAAAGTTGGAGCCTTGTGGATCGAGGGGAGCGTTGTCGAGGGGAGTGTTGCCAGGTGGGCCGAAGGGAATAGGGTTCGCCAAAATCATGTGAGCGTAGGCAGAAGATGCTATAGTTGATATGACAGTGCCCAAGAGGGCAAGCTTCGCGCCGTAAAGCATGATGATCCTGGACTGGCTAAGAATGGAATTGATCAGATGCGTGGGCGAAGTTGAAGCTGGGTATTAAGGCGCTTTGCTTTGTGTATTGCAGTAGAGATTATTGGGCGTGCGTTTGATGAAGAAGGATAGGTAGAAATACGAAGGGTTTCTTATACCCATTCCAAAGTGGGCAGCTCGCATTATAAATGTATACGCACAATACAATTGAATAGATAATAAGAAAAAGCGCTGTTGGTGAACGTGCAGTAGTTGAAGTAGTGAATGGACCTGTGAGAAACAACACATAGTATTGTACAATAGAAGAAAGTGAACAGGGATCAGTTTTGTCGAAAAACTGAAAGCAAGAGCAGGGAGGATATTGAGGTAGTTCAAGGCCATTGCACCCGACTCGGTTATCTTCGATAAATGGCTGGGGTAACTTTCTTTGATGGTATGAATGCGGAGCGGGTCGATACCTCAACTACGCAATACTGTGAAAATTGTATGCAAGCCATGTTGCTGGAGGCTCAGAGAGAGGCAAGATGTTGCGGTTGGGTGCCACGGGACTTCTCCGTCCTATAAGAACCGCAGGTGTCTAACCTGCGATGAGTATTTGATGTCTGACCCCACTGCAACCTAGAAGCTATCAACAAGGGTTCAATTGTGCATTGAGCAAGTTTTCAGAAACTTTGTGAAGGGTTGTTAGTTAAGAAAATATTAGCCAACTCTGCCTTCGCTATATGGCATGGAAAGTGTCCGAACAACCCAGAAGCAAATTTCTATCGGCAAGTATGGGTCGTCAATCTGAGCATGAAGAAAGTCGTGAAGGAGGACATTCCTTAATACTTCAATCAGTTGGGGTATGGGAGTGACATTAACACGGTTCATATTGCTTTCATGAATGAAGTTCACCACGGAACGCTCAGTAAGTGAATGCTGTATAACTGATGAAATTGGGGAGTGAAAGTGCATAGGTGATTGAAAATGTCATCATGTCAGAAATAGTGGGTGTGGAGGTTGCACGTCAGCAGGCCAACGCTAAAGGTGGGGCAGCTACACGCTAATGCATACTAACGTCTTGGCAGGATTTTGTTGGCCTGATGAAATCTCTGCTGGACTGGTCTCTTCAAATCCTCTTCCGTTCCTGCTACTTACTTACTAGCCATGCAGAACCTAGATTTTAACTTGCTACAACAGACTGCTCAGCCCCAAAATCAAGATGAGCAAGATTGGGTAGGAGTGGAGGACGGAGAAGGTAGTGAGGTTGATGATGAGGTATAAACATGTTCACAATAGGTTAACAAGACGTTGGTAACATGCTATTAGCAAAATCAGGAGCTCACAATTCTTACGTCGTCTGCCGCAGCACCTCTACGTACAGCTAGAATCCAGCAAGCTCAAGTCCTTCCTGAGTATCCGCAAACACTACCTAGAGGGTATACATATTGTGTTAGTACAGATAAGAGGGATATTCAGGAGGTGCTTCAAGAAGCATTAGCAGTGAGCAATATATTCCTAACATGTTCTAAACATCTTTTGCTGACCTTCAGTTTCAATACTGCCGCAAGAATAAAGCGAAGAAGAAAGGCACTACTTGCCTCTACCTGGGCGGCCAGGCTTTGCGGTGGAAATACCAATGCACTGGGGCAAAGTATTGTCAATACCTTGAAAACAGCTTACGAACACGTTCACATTGTCATGCAAGCGCACAACTCTGGGAGGAGCTTCGTCAATATCGACGAACTCCTCTTAGAGAAGAGACTAATAAGAAGAAGAGACACTCT